TTGTTGACCCTTTTCTTTTTATTTCTTTGACCTGGTGCTTGAATTATGTTCCAATTGGAGGGCAATAACAATAAAAACATTTACCTTCCTGCTGTCGAAATAAATTGTCCATTATCGCCGTCGCCATCTTATTCAAATAGTGTTTACGATTGTGGTACCAAGATGTACACTCTATGTGTAAAATCAATAGTCTCCAGTTTGGATAAATTTCAACCCAATATTCATTGTTTACCTGTTAATGTACAACTTGATCTGTACCTTGAGATGTTTATGAATGAACGATGGACCGATTTGAATGATTATCTTACAAATTTAACCAATTTTCTCAATCTCCTGGTTTACAATAAAGGTCAAACACTTCACATGTTGGTACAACGGTTAATGGACGAAGGCCTCAATCTAACTGGATTTTTAACAAGAGCGATAAGCAAGGAGATCACAATGAGAGTGGAAAAGGCGACCAGATCAAATTTCGAGCAAATTAATTACCATAGAAAATTACGAGTTCAATTAATGCAAAGAGCTTATTCTTTGGCTGGTTTCTTAATTGAAGCTGGTTGGTATGTTGATGCTGAGAAGATTTTATCATCAAGCCTTAAATTGCATCTCAATGAGATTGATACAAATGAGATAATCGTTGAATCTTGGATTTTTAGGATTAAAACTCGTTTATTAGCAGCTCTTGTTGGTTATTCACGTTTCAAAGAAGCCAATCAATTATATGAAGAAATGGTTACCCTGATTGATGAAAAAAATTATGCCAATTTACCTGATAGATTTGATCTTGCTCAAGTTTACAATCAATTTGCCTGTTTATTTACTGCTCAGAGTCTATATAAAGAGGCCTACAAATGGAGTTGCCAATCAATGTCATATTTAACCAAAAGTACTCCCAGAATTTCAGTAATTGATATCATGTTGACCGCTGCTAAATGTTGTACCATTAAGAGAGACTTTGAAATAGCCGATTTCCTATTACGACAAGTGCTTTTGACCTGTAAAGAGCTGTTCAAATTGAACGAGAAATGTGACTTCTCTCAGATTAATAATTTCCATCCAATCATTGGTGATCTTTTCATGACCATGGGCTATTATTATCACAATATCGATATGCATGTACAATCAGTTAAATTTTATCTGAATTCAGTCAACTTTCGTAAACAGTATTTTGGCCTTCACATTAACGGAACAATGTATAAATTTACCTCTTGCACTTTCACGTCAAGAATTAGCTTTCGCTTATTATATTCAAGAATATTCAACAGGCCATTTTGACCTTTGTTTGTATCACATTGAACTCGCCAAAATGTCATTGGAAACGCTATTACCAAAGGAACACCATCTACTTATCAATGTGTTTAGGATAAAAGCGTTAATCATTGAAGAGATGGCCATTGATAATGTGGACATAGTCGGTAAAACGGAGATGCTAATGGAGGCCAATCAACTTCACCGAGAAGCGCTTAAAATATCTCGAAATATTTTGGGCGAGGAGAATCTTCAAACGGCCAAAAATTACTCTAATTTAGGTCGATTGTACCAAACGATGCACCGATATGAAGAATCGGAAATGTTACAATTACGATCTATTGAAATTAAAGAAAAGTGTCTCGGTAAAGATGATTATGAGGTCGCACAATCATACGGATTTTTGGCCTCATTGTACAGTTACGACATGGAAATGTATCCGCAGGCGGAAAGTTATTATCTCAAAGCGATTGACATTGGTATCAAAGTTTTCGGCGGTGCTTATATTGGCCTCGAATTTGATTATCAAGGAATCATCAGGATTTATACGAGAACCGGAGAGACCGACAAAGCCTATGAGTACGTTAAATTGTTACGAGCATGGAAATCGAAAAGATATTCAATCACGTCACAATTAAGCAAGAAAGATCTTTGTACCAGTCTATCCGATGAATCTTTGGTTCCTCTTAAATTACTCGAGATCAAACAACATTTCTTAATCAATAGACTGCACAAAGTTTGACGATCAATCGATTTTATCTTCAACAATTTACATTATGCTCAATTTACCTCGAAACTGGATTCGGATAAAACTTTGGCCTTTTGACGATTTAATTATTATGATTTCCTTCAATGCCTATTGATCATTGATTAATTAATCTTAACTTTATCCATCTCATCAATACACGATATTATTTACTCTGTTGTCAAGACTGTTGATCATACACATATACACTAGTCGTCACAATTAATCATCAAAGTTGATCAAGTTAACTAATCATAATTAACTAATCTGATTGACGTGATTTATGTTACACGATTGATTATAAATCAAGACACACAAAGTGGAGATGATGGTTAGCAAAAAAAATTAAACAATCAATGAATTGGCTTGTATTGTCATAATTGTTTTATTTTGATTATATAAACGAGATCTGCTGATTCAATCAACTAAATGATTCCTATTGTGCTCACGTTAATTACTTACGAATTAATCTAATCAGATTCTTAATGATTATTAAAATGTCACCAAGGATGATTAGTGTTTTTCGTTGTGTAGACTAAATTTTCAAAATCAATCAGCAGAAAATGCCCTCAGGTTATTTCCGAACTAATCGACAATATTGTCTCCGAATAATTTGAACAATTTAAACAACAATTCTCTTGAGATTAGCATGGGCGAAATTCAACCTTGATAATATTTTCTAAATTAAGACTATTCAGAAGTTGATCAGCAGTTAATTCACTTGGGAAAATAATGATTCCTATCAACTATTAATACAATTGAAACATCAATCAAATTGCAAATTGGTTACTATTTAGTTGATCGTACAAATCTACCAAAAATAGTTTACAATTAAGCTAAATCATTTTTTTTTATTCTAAGCAATTCAAGGTCAATCAATTCGAATTTTTTTCTTCTCCATAGCTAAAATTCATTCTTAGTTCCAGTTCCTTTCCCCAAAAAGATAAATTCAAGTTTAGTTATCAAGCCAATAATACATGAAGACGGAAAACTTAATTTCTTCCTTTCAAGTGTTAAGTTTAATTAAAATGGTGTATTTTTATTTTAAGTTTTAACAGCGACTTCAGGGGAGGCTTCGATTAATTGGAATTCATCGTTTCGGGAAGCAGGAAAGTTTAACTTTTTTCACCCTTGATAAATTTTGATTTGATTAACTTTACGTGTGAAGCTGGAATTAATTATTATTATTGTTTATCTTGTTACACTGATCAAGTTGACACCAAAATTATGATAAGACATCAGTTACTTTGGTTGTTTTCCCAGTCGAGTGAAAACTGGACATTAAGTTGAGCTCGGAGCACATTGCATTTAAATTGCGAATCAAGTCCCGCTGAACAAAAATAAGCAAATTTAATATTTTATTATAATTATCATTGGCACAATTAAATTTGAATTGTACGCGAAGATTGTGAATCAAAGATACGTTGAATGGATTCATCATTAGTTGTTGTATCATTTTCACAGGTTAAATCATTGAAACATTTGCCTGAAATTTTGGAAACAATTAAAATTATCAAGAGAGAAAGAATAAAATTAACATTCAAAATTACTAATAATTAATTTTAAATTGTAACAATTTACCTGAACTACAACAGATCCCATTGGAAACACAAACTCCTTGACCTGATGAACAGAGTTTACCAGGGACTTTACATGGGATCGGGATGAAATTTTCAGCTCTACATGGAGCCGAATAGTGATTGTTGATTAAACACCCGAAGTCTGAACCACAACAAACATTTTAATTGACACAATGACCTTTGTTACCTGGACCACAACGAAGACACTTTTGAAGTAATTGAATGAAAACAATTAGAAATTACAATCAAGAACTAAACAATTAACTCACTTCTCTCATATGGTCAATGTCACCATGAGATCTTTTCCCTCCGGGTGGACAATTAGTGATGAAACAAGCTTCATCGAGGTGGAAATTAATGAGAAAAGTTAATAAAATGAACTTGGCCAACATGATTAGTTGATTTACTTAATTCGATTGCCCATCTAACTATTAACGAGCCAATATTTATACTTTCCAATCGTTTATCACTAAGCTCTATCAACCAGACTCAACTAATCAACAGTTAATCTCTGGTCATTATTATCTTAGATCATAATTAATTCAGTCAAACAATCAATCATCATAAGTGTTTTTATAATTGTTGCCTTTTGGTTCTTCAATTATTAATAAATCAAATCTAATTGTTATTCAACTTTACCTATTTTAATTTCTCATCGGAAAAAATTGTTATTATGATTTTAATTGTTGATCCTTAGTTGGTTAATTAAATTTAACCAAAGTAATTATTACAAACTTTGATGAAATAATTAACCGAATAGTCGATGATTGACCAGACAATTTGATCCAAATGGTATTTTATTTAATTTGATTGATTAAGTTCATAATTTATTTAATATTCTTTTCTGCTCAATCATAATAATAAATGATAATCTAATCAATGAAAATCCAATAACAATCAACCGAACAGTTTGATAACTCAAAACACTTGATATTCATCAGCATTTAACGTTAATTTAATTGTTAATCACTCACTAACAGTAAATGATTGCATTCTAATACCAGTCTAGTAGGATAAAAGATTTTAATCGAAAACATATTAATTAGACGTAATAAACAATCTGGATGTAACAATTAATTAAATTCTACCGGATATTCAAATTCACGAATTAGAGTCAGGGGTTGTTTTACTTAATTGATTAAAACAAACATTTCATTTAGTCTCAAATTTTACTTGAAAATTAGGTGATTGTGTTACTTTACCTGCTCGAATTTTTTAGAGGAGATTCTAATATCAGAACAAAACTTAATTACATCTGTCCTGAGTGGCAATACATTTTCACACTCGGTCACAGTGGTGAAACCACTTTGCGGTAAATAATCCTTTCAGTAATTAAAACAATGATTAGTTAATTGTCACAATAAGTCGTCGTTACCAACCTCACAACCTTTTATAGCTTCCTCAGCAAGTTTTTGACGTTTTCAGACGATTGATGTCAGAGTCATGAAAATTAAACAATTAAATTTGACTTGTATGTGAAGATTGTGCATCAAAGATACGTTTTATTGATTCATCGTTAGTTGGTGTATCACTTTCACAGGTTAAATCATTGAAACATTTGCCTGAAATTTAGGAAACAATTAAAATTATTAAGAGAGAAAGAATAAAATTAACATTCAAAATTACTAATAAGTAATTTTAAATTGTAACAATTTACCTGAACTACAACAGATCCCATTGGAAACACAAACTCCTTGACCTGATGAACAGAGTTTACCAGGGACTTTACATGGGATCGGGATGAAATTTTCAGCTCTACATGGAGCCGAATAGTGATTGTTGATTAAACACCCGAAGTCTGAACCACAACAAACATTTGAATTGACACAATGACCTTTGTTACCTGGACCACAACGAAGACACTTTTGAAGTAATTGAATGAAAACAATTAGAAATTACAATCAAGAACTAAACAATTAACTCACTTCTCTCATATGGTCAATGTCACCATGAGATCTTTTCCCTCCGGGTGGACAATTAGTGATGAAACAAGCTTCATCGAGGTGGAAATTAGCGAGGAAAGTTAATAAAATGAACTTGGCCAACATGATTTACTTAATTCGATTGCTCAACTACATTATACTGTATTAACGAAACAATATTTATACTTTCCAATTGTTTCTCACTCAACTCGATCAACCGTATTTAACTAATCAACAGTTAATCGTTAACCTCTAATCATCAGCATCTCAGATTAATTCAGTTAAACAATCAATCATCACAAATATTTTTATAATTGTTACCCTTTGATTCTTCAATTAAATCAAATCTAATTGCGGTCTGACTTTACTTACTATTTTAATTTTTCATCGGAGAAAATTGTTATTGATTTTAATGTTGTTAGTTAGTTGGATAGTTGAATTTAAGCAAATGAAATTTAAATTGAAACTTTGATGAAATATTTAGACTAATAACCAATGAGTGATCAGACAATTTGATCCAAAGATTATTTAAATTGATTGATAGGATTTATAATTCATTAATCATATGTTTCTATCGTTAATTGTTGATATTTATTTCTCATCAATAAACATCTCTAACAATTGAAGCTAAAGCTTTTTCTACGCACTCCTAAAAGAATAAAGATATCAATTAATTAAATAAATTGTAAGCAAAAATCCACATCTAACAATTAGTTCAATCCTCACCTCAGTCATACATCAAGATATATCAAGATTATCCTTATTAATACCCATTTTAACATTTTTCGGCCTTGATTGTTTAAAAAAACATTTCAATTAGTCTCGAAACTTCAATCATTTACTTGACAATTAGTTAATTGTTGTACTTTACCTGTTCAACTTTTGTTGCGTAGGCTTCAAGATCAGGACAAGACTTAATTACTTCATCATTTGTACTGAGTTTTTGACATTTCATCACAAAATTGTACTCATCTTGAGAGAAATTAATCCTCTAACAGTGAAGATGATGATTAGTTAGTTGTCACAATTTGTCGTGATTGCTATCGAACGTTTATCAAGTTCACCATTTCCTCGTTTCGATGAAGTAAATATATATTTACTTGTGCTATTTTCACTTATAAGTGAAAAGTAGTAACTTTGGGACAAGGTAACCATCTTAATTGAAGGAAATTAAAATTAATCATTAAAACTTTTTGTAAATCAATCAACTATAGTCACTCACTAATCATCACTTCATTTGTTTCAACTGGTTAATTTTACATCCAGTAAATTGTTCATCTTGATTGTTGTAATGTGATTCTAAAATTGAATCGATTTCATCTCGAACTTTATCTTGAATATCTTTGTACAAACCGAGGATGTAAAGTGTCCAACTAATGGACATCGCCGTTGTATCATGACCCTAACGATTAAATAAAAGACAATTCGTTATGGGAAATTGGTGACAATTTAAACTTCTTCTCGAACATCTTCAATGGTCATCACATCGTTTTGGAGCTGATGCTCCATGAGAAGGAATAACTCAGAATGAGAGGTTAAGTTTCCCTGCTAAATCAGTTTTCACCTTTATTCTTGCTTCATCTTTGATGATTCATTGAAATCTTCCTATGAAAATGTAATCATGATCCAAAATTAATTGTTCACAATCAATTTAGATTCATTTTAAATAAAAATACGAACTTAAGGTTCGATTTATCATTTCTTTCGTTTTTTGGCCTTAAAAATGTCTCAAGAGAAAAAAATCAACAAAAAATAATTAATAATCTTGAAAAATTAAGGGACTATCCAAAAAAATGAAATTGACCCTTCCACCAAAAAGGTAGACCCAAAAAGCCGTTTGTCCTTAAACTTTTGACGAGCTGATCGCTAGGCAATGTTAATAATTAGTTAAATAATTAATTAATGAAAATTATGTAAAAAAATCTTCTCTTCATTTTCAAGCTAACTACCAATGGCTATCATATTTCTAAAAAAATTATAATTTATCTTAACTAGAACTCGAGTTATAATCAATTGATTGTTGTCCTTAAAGGACTGTATTATACTTTTATATCAAACTAGATTAGTTAATTTAGTCGTATCAAGACTGATCAAATAAAAAATTTTATTTATTTAAATGATTAATTAATTGTAAACAAGATCTACGTTGAAGTGTAAATGTCAAGTATTAATAGTTTACAATTGTATAACCGAGCGCCTCTGAGCCAGAATTCACTAAGGATCGTACGTGTCTCAAGCATATTTACTCAATTGGTGCTAATTGTTTTTGTTGATTTTCTTTGGAACCTCAATGCAAATTGAACATTTATTATAGACAAGGGGAATTATCTAGAATTAAACAACGTTAAAATTTTAGATATCAGCAATTGATTTTCAGCTTGCTCTGTGCGATACTAAAAGGATAAAAGATATTGCAATTGTAATTGTAATTAATTAAAGAAATAGGGATAAGGCTCAGGATATATCCGAATCCGTTTTTGTAAATTAAAATTCGTCTTTTTCTTGCCTACATGCGTTTAACTCTTACCAGGATGATAATCGGCGGATAAGATGCTAAAGTCTACAGGCACGAACCTATCGACGGTTTAGTGGTCGCAGGGGACTTCAAATTCCAAAATTTGTCCGGCCATGATGTTCTCAACGCGACTCTCTACGAAAAAAAGCCAAAAAACTCATAGCTTGGGTATGCATGGATTGTAAATTTTATACCAATAAGAATCGACCAGAAAAATGCATGCACCGATTTCATCGCGGTGAATGAAAATCTTAAATACGAAATTTAAGCCGTTTGGCCGGATTATGGGTCTGGAATCCTCATCTAAATCTTGGCCTGGGAGGAAAATTCATTTCTGATGAAAATATTTGAGAGGGTGTCGATTGTATCTCTTTGTGTTGATTATCATGAACCTTTCGAATCCAAAGTTTGGCTTGAAATGACAAATCGATTATAATTAATGGCAAGTTAAGCATTTTTGATTAACTTTGTTATTTAGTAGATTTTGTACTTTTATTTTTGTATGTTTATGATCACAAAACTAGCAATACCTTGTGGAGATGGTAATAAGCTTGTATTTGTTGATTTCGATTCATCTGATTTAGTTGATAATTGATTAGTTAAATTGAGATTAATGTCCATTTGTTTCAGCTGATTATCCAATTGTTGAAGATTTTCTTGATTCATCTGGCTTTTTGTGTAATCGTGTTGATATTGAGCGTGACAAAGGACACCCGTTATATGGGTTTTTGGAAAGACTTTATGGAAAATGGAAACTCCTGAATTAACATCATTAGTATGATTAACAAAACGACGATAAGAATCAAATTAGGACATCAAAAAGAATAGGAAAATTGCCCATCGCGAAAGTTTGACAAAATGAACTTTCTAAACCTAACTTTTTATGCTGAATTCAAACATGTCATCAGTTTACTTTTTGAGATATAGCGATCTTTTCATAGAAATGCTGTAAGTGTGCTTAAAAGTAATTCAGTCTTTAAAGCAGCCAAGTAAGACATCAAATAGATTCAGATTTTTTTTCTGATCATGCATACATTGAAAACCTGGGCTGATTGGCCCGCGAAGTTGGTCAACTAATTGATTGAATATTCTTGCTAATTAGTTGCTAAGAAGGAGGTCCCCAACCCTCGAGATAAGATAAGAAATCGATTCAGTTTTTTTTCTGATCAAGAACTTGTCGAGATATTCGGTCAGAAAACCCGCAAAGCGGGTCAAAATGGAAGGAATTGCTCGCGCGTTAAGTAACTCATAAACGATAATCTATGTTTAAAATGAAGTGCGAGCGCTTCGAATGAGTGTGATCTGATAATCGATGACTCATACAGCCCTTTTGATTACTTACTATGCCTTTATTTATCCAGATCACGAAAAGTGTACAAATTCGATATCTTACTGCTCTTAAAGTATAGATGAATAGATGGGTAGATTAAACTCATTCGAATCGAAAGCACCAAAATTCAAAATTATTAACTTTAAATTGTAACAATTTACCTGAACTACAACAGATTCCATTGGAAACACAGACTCCTTGACCTGACGAACAAAGTTTACCAGGAACTTTACATGGGATCGGAATGAAATTTTCCGCTCTACATGGAGCCGAATAGTGATTGTTGATTAAACATCCGAGGTCTGAACCACAACAAATATTTGAATTGACACAATGACCTTTGTTACCTGGACCACAACGAAGACACTGTTGAAATAATTGAATGAAAACAACTAAATTAATGAAATTACAACCAAGATAAAACAATTAACTCACTTCTCTCATATGGTCAATGTCACCATAAGATCTTTTCCCTCCGGATGGACAATTAGTATATGGACAATCGATATTATAGCTGCCACCTTTTCCGTTTCCGTTTTTGTTCGCTAATTCAAATTCTAACGAATTTTACGTTTTTACCACTTTTAACCGGTATTTTAGAGTTAATTTTTTTTGTTAATAATTTTTCCAGATCCACACTATCAATATTAAACTATAATCAGATCAAATTTTACAAAGATACGACGGAAGAAAGCGAAGAACAAGAGTTTCAAGATTACGAATACTCAACTCAGCACGCACTGTACAATAACTTGTTCTAAAGTTATGAATTTTTTTTCGATAAAAGCATTGCAAAACGAATCTTATTGATGAGTTAGACATTCTCACCCTTTTTACAATAGTGAAATTCGAATTTGAAGAAAGCAGTTTCAATCAATTTGTGATTCTTAAAGATTGTTTAGAACAGTCAAATCAATTTCTTCTAGATTTATCGTCGTATCTTTGTAAAATTTGATCTGATTATAGTTTAATATTGATAGTGTGGATCTGGAAAAATTATTAACAAAAAAAAATTAACTCTAAAATACCGGTTAAAAGTGGTAAAAACGTAAAATTCGTTAGAATTTGAATTAGCGACCAAAAACGGAAACGGAAAAGATGGCAGCTATAATATCGATTTTTACCCATTTCGAAAAGTGCGATTACGGTGGTCGGTGGTTCGATATCGACCGAACAGTTCGTGACCTTCCCTTGTAAGTAATACAGCCAAATCACTTCGAGTGAACCACAATCTCATTTTGCGAGGATAAAATCTCATTTCGAGTGAACGTAAATTCTTTAAGCTAAACTCGTTTAATCCGCGAGCTCTGTAACTTGATCGAAAAATTCTTGTGACTTGATTGATTAAAGTAATCGATAACATCTCAATTAGTCTTAAAAAATTAACAATTCACTTAATAATTAGTTGATCTAAATTGATCCAAATGATATTTAATTTAATTGATTAGGTTCATAATTTATTAAATATTTGTTTCTTCTTAATCACTACAATTAATGGCTACAAGTCAATGAAAATCCAACAACAGTCAACCAAACAAATTGGATAATTCGAAACACTTGATATTCATCAATATTTATCGTAGATTGTTGATATTTAAATCCAATTACAATAATTGTTCAATCTTTTCTAAACAAGACTTAAAAGATATAAATGTACATAAGTGTAAATTAATAAAAAAAAGCATTGATTAAATGTAATCAACTGCAAGTTTATCAAGTTTAACAATTAATTCTCACCAAATATAATTCACAGTCAGGATCATCCTTTCTTCCCGAACAAATTTGATCTGCACATTTTTCCTTCTTAATCGATTAAAGAAAACTTTTCAATTAGTCCAAAATCTTGAACAATTTATTTGAACATTAGTTAATTTTGTTACTTTACCTGCTCGATTTCTAAGCCGCTTCCAGTAGCAGAACGCAATTTTCTTTCCATAGGATGTCGGACCTTTTTGGCACAATGGTCATCGATGTGAATAGCTTTGGATAAATTATCCTTCAGCAATTAAGACAATGATTAGTTTATTGTCACAGTTAGTCGTGATTAATAATTACCATACAAGTTTGTAGATCTCCTATGATTTTAGCTTGGCGGTCACCATCTTGAGAATCTATTGAATCCAGTATCATTATTATATTTTGCTTATCAAAATGAATCAAAGAAAATGAGTTGGAAATTAAGATAACAAATACAATTGATTTAATCATGATTATTGTCGTTGTTTAACTGATTTAAAAGAGTAAATTACAGATGTATTATATTGTATTTTATATCAAATTAGACTAGTTAATTTAGTTGTAACGGAGACTGATGAAATAATACTTTCATTTTAAATTTCATATGATCAACTATCAATCCTATGAAGCTAGTTAATTATTTGAATTTATTATTTTGGAGTTGGAAATTATTATTGTTGATTAATTGTTTGTTAACAAGATCTACATAGAAGTGTAAATGTCAAGTATTGATAGTTTATAACCGAGCGCCTCTGAACCAGAATTCACCAAGGATCGTACGTGTCTTAAGCATATTTGCTCAATTGGTGCTACAGTAAACTGCCAGATAATGAGACTCTCTTACAATCACGTTTCTATTGTAATCAAGACAACCGAGCTGTATTTTTAATTGTTTACTCTTGTTAATTAATCATTTTTAAGAAATTTGATCGAAATTTTCTTAATTGAAAATGATTAAAATTAGTATTGGTCATTCAAAAGGGTAAATTGATAGGAAAAGGGGCACAAAAAGCACATTAAGTGTTTGGGTAATTAATTAATAGAAATTAAATTTTTTGTGTTAATAGTGATTTTAAGCTATTTTCAGAGAGAGTCTCATTATCTGGCAGGTGACTGTATTTATAGCAAAAGCGGCCGATTTTTAAGGACAAAAATTGATGATTCTTCATAGTCTTGGTTAAATGACGACGATTCAACTAATTTATACATATAAGTATCCAAGTATTGTAGTTTCGGAGCTATTAACCCTTGAAGATCAAAGGCTACTCTCTCATTCCATTAAAACTGTTGATCAAACGAAAAAAGTGCTTGATCCACTATGTTAACCTTTACTAAGATATTCAACTTGTTGATAGAAACTTCGATATGACCTCGTCCAAATATTGAAATAGCGCGAAATACAGACTAGAGAATTTAATTTTTTTCCTTTCCAAGCAAATCTAAACAAGTAAACTGGTTGAAAAGAGACATTTAAATTATTATTAATATGTGAAATGATAGAATGAATTGTATAATATTTGAAGTGAAAATTGAGTTAAATCTTTAATTGTTCAACATACGTTTGGTTGAATGTTCGCAAACAAACAAAATTAAAGGAAAATTTCAATTAACGTGTTTTAATATTATATCATGATTATCATTGGAACGATTAAATTTGAATTGTATGTGAAGATTGTGAATCAAAGATACGTTGAATAGATTCATCATTAGTTGGTGTATCACTTTCACAGGTTAAATCATTGAAACATCCTCCTGAAATTTAGGAAACAATTAAAATTATCAAGAGAGAAAGAATAAAATTAACATTCAAAATTACTAATAATTAATTTTAAATTGTAACAATTTACCTGAACTACAACAGATCCCATTGGAAACACAAACTCCTTGACCTGATGAACAGAGTTTACCAGGGACTTTACATGGGATCGGGATGAAATTTTCAGCTCTACATGGAGCCGAATAGTGATTGTTGATTAAACACCCGAAGTCTGAACCACAACAAACATTTGAATTGACACAATGACCTTTGTTACCTGGACCACAACGAAGACACTTTTGAAGTAATTGAATGAAAACAGATAAATTAATGAAATTACAATCAAGAACTAGACAGTTAACTGACTTCTCTCATATGGTCAATGTCTATGACCTAAATTCGATATCGATAAAAATCAATCGATAAACTTGCTGCTGAACAATTTGATCCACTGAATTGTCCCCTCCCCCGCCCAGAAAAGGGGAGGGGTCAAAAAAATCGATTCTTCAGGCCTGCGAGTATTGTTTACCGTGCACAAGATTAGCTACCATATCTTGCGTTTGATAACAGTCATTACCAAAATCCTTTTGAATATAAATTTATCATAATTTTTTCAGTCAACAAAAATTTTCATCGTTCTGCGCATGCTCATATGCACAGAATAACGTTAGCACTGAAATTCGCATTAAAACGCATATCTCCGCTAGGAGCGTTTCCGCGCAAAATAAATAGCACTAATCGATTTGTCACATAATGTTACATATGTGTACAAAGTTTCATCAAAAAAATCGACCGACCTAATACGGAACTCTAGCCCTCATCTTTGGGTGTAAGATCCTTTCAATAATAAAGACAATTATGAGTTAATTGCCGCAATAAGTCGTGATTAAAACTAACCTTATCAGCTTTTACATATTTATTAATATAAGATATACAATAACTCTCAGTAGGTGTTATCGTAGAGTTTTTCAACATTGAACAAAAGTTACTCCAATCTGAATCGTTTTCATCACAATTGCTTAAAGAAAATGAATTAACAATTAAGATAACGAACACAATTGATTTAGTCATGATGATTGTCGTTGTTAAACTGATTTAAAAGATTTGATGACAAATGTATTTTATTGTACTTTTATATCAAACTAGATTAGTTAATTTAGTCGTATCAAGACTGATCAAATAAAAAATTTTATTTATTTAAATGATTAATTGATTGTAAACAAGATCTACGTAGAAGTGTAAATGTCAAGTATTAATAGTTTATAACCGAGCGCCTCTAAACCAGAATTCACCAAGGATCGTACATGTCTCAAGCATATTTGCTCAATTGGTGCTAATTGTTTTTGTTGGTTTTCTTTGGAACCTCAATGCCAATTGAATATTTATTTTAGGAGAATTATCTTAATGAAACATGTACAGCAAATAATTAAAAGTAAAAATTTAATTAGTAAGTTAGGACTAAATAGTAGTACTTAGTAGAAGAACCTAGTCATTTTTACTTGAACTTTTATCGGACAACAATTCAAATTGTATCGCTTGGAAGGGTAACAGTGGCGACTCTCCATTGGAGAGTTCAAATTAACGGATCCGGATGAGGTCGCCATTGGAGTGAACAAAAGAGCAAACCAAACATAAATTTAGTCAGTATGTACAGGTAGTGTGGCTTCCATAGTGAACGTTTTTGAATTGCTATTTATCCGCTATTATAAGACCGAAATTGATCAATTTAGTTGCAAACGTTTTTTTCTTAATTAATTTAATAAAAATAAAAAATTGAGATAATTCTCAATCCTCCCTAGTTAGTTATATGATTTTTTCTGAGGGGTAGTCAAAAATTTTTTTAAAGGTTTTGATCAAAATATTTTGACATTGACTCGGACCAGGTCAAGAAAAAAAACATCATTTAATTCTTCAGAATTGAAAGTATCGTATATAAAAAATTTCGGTATGATCTATTTAACCGTTGTTGGTTATGTCAACAATTATTTATCTTAATTATTACCTTATTTTTACTTAATTAATCAAAACCATTTCATTTAATCATCGACATCATCAATTTACTGGAATTCAAATTTTCTCCATTGAGTTAATATAGAGACTCATTATAATCACCCAACTTTTTGCTTAATCTTTTGATTACAATAATCAAACTTATATCAGTTTGAAGAGCACCAAAAATATGACCGATCATCACTTCGTTTGTTTCAACTGGTTAATTGTAAATCCAGTAAATTGTTCATCTTGATTGTTGTAATCTGATTCTAAAATTGAGTCGATTTCATCTCGAACCTTATCTTGAATATCTTTGTACAAACCGAGGATGTAAAGTGTCCAATCAATGGACATAGCAGTTATATCATGACCTTAACGATTGAAATAAAAGACAATTCGTTATGGGAAATTGGTGACAATTTAAACTTCTTCTCGAACATCTTCAATGGTCATCACATCGTTTTGGAGCTGATGCTCCATGAGAAGGAATAACTCAGAGTAAGAGGTTAATTTTCCCTGCTAAATCAGTTTTCACCTTTAGTTTTGCTTTATTTTTGCTTCATTTTTGATAATTCATTGAAATCCTCCTATGAAAATGTAATCATTTCAGTTATTATAGTCGTTCAAGTTCAATATAAACAATTTAAAGAGACACTGAAACGGCTTTTTTCCAACCAACAATTTACTTGGAAAATTTAATCATGATCCATAATTAATTGTTGACAATCAATTTAGATTCATACAATATCCTAACTTTGTCTTAATCAATTAGCATGAATTAGATTTGAAAACGTAAAAGTTAAATTAATTAGTTTACTTTTCAATTGCATGATATAAATTGTTGATTGTTACAATCAGTTAATCTTTTCCAATGTCAATCTGATTAACAGGTAGTGGACAAATTCAGTTGTGGCAATTTTTACTTGAACTTTCATCGGACAACAATTCAAATTGTATCGCTTGGGAGGGTAACAATGGAGAGTTCAAATTAACGGATCCAGATGAGGTCGCCCACCGGTGGGGTGAACGGAAGAGCAAACCAAACATGAATTACGAAAACTTTCACGAGCACTTAGATATTATTTGGTAAGGCGATACAATTGTATGTCAGTTCAACATTTTCACTCAAAGCTGATTTTTTGTCCGTTTTAAACCGTTTTTAACCTAATTTTTCATCAGAAAACTGTTGTTGGTTTAAATTTCTGTCGTTAATCGGTTGATTAAATACATCGAATGCATTCAGATACAGTGGAGGCAATAAGTAAGTTGAAATTTTGATTTTGGAAGAAAAATGATTAAATTTTTTTAATTGAGCTTTACTGTCACAATTAAACTATTAAATATGATTATTACAACCAATAGAAATAATTTTTAGCAATTTAAATTTAGATTCATTTGATTACTTGAGTTGTAGCTTCAAAATTAGGCAATCGCAGGAAACAATAAGTAAGTTGAAATTTTAGGTTTTGCTCATTTTCTGGTTAATTATTTATAGTAGAAAAAAATTATTAATTAAATTGATTGTTTATGTTATTACGATCAATTTGAGACCCTTTAGATCAAAATCATTACACTTTGAGATCATTGAAAGTTGAATTGTTCGTTGAATAGGGAATTTACATTGATAAATTGATTTAATTTAAAAATTAACTTTCAATGATCTCAAAGTGTAATGATTTTGATCTAAAGGGTCTCAAATTGATCGTAATAACATAAACAATCAATTTAATTAATAATTTTTCTACTAAAATGAGCAAAACCTAAAATTTCAACTTACTTATTGTTTCCTGCGATTGCCTAATTTTGAAGCTACAACTCAAGTAATCAAATGAATCTAAATTTAAATTGCTAAAAATTATTTCTATTGGTTGTAATAATCATATTTAATAGTTTAATTGTGACAGTAAAGCTCAATTAAAAAAATTTAATCATTTTTCTTCCAAAATCAAAATTTCAACTTACTTATTGCCTCCACTGTATATACGATAATCTATCGCTATTTGTGTTCAACCTGCATATCATTAGTATTCGGAAGTATATCCGTTAATTGTTTTACTTTACCTGCTGTAATTTTTCTGCAGGGTCTTCAAGAGCAGAACAAACCGAAATTCTGTCATCATTTATACGGAGCAGCAATAGTTTATTATTAATACATTCGGTTAAAGAGTCATGAACATCTTGAACTATTAAAATAACGATGCTTAAGTAATGAAAATTAGATAATCTTCAAAAACTCTATTAACCTCGATAGTAACTTAAAGTATCAGTCCAAATATTGAAATAGCGCGAAATACAGACTAGAGAATTAAATTTTTTTCCTTGCCAATCAAATCTAAACAAGTAAACTGGATTAAAAGAGAAATTTAAATTATGTGAAATGATAGAATGAATTTTTTTATATTTGAAGTGAAAATTGAGTTAAATCCTTAATTGTTTACCATACGTTTGGTTGAATGTTTGCGAACAAACAAAATTGAAGAAAAATTTCAATTAACGTGTTTTAATATTATATCATAATTATCATTGGAACAATTAAATTTGACTTGTATGTGAAGATTGTGCAACAAAGATACGTTGAATTGATTCATCGTTAGTTGGTGTATCACTTTCACAGGTTAAATCATTGAATCAAGAGAAAGAGAGAGAGAGAGAGAAAAACAAATAAAGTTTGAAAATTACTGTTGATTACCTTTACTAATTAGGCTTTAAGACAAACTTCTACTTGAGGAGTCTTTTTAAAGGAAAGGATTGCATCCAACGGCTTCTTACTCAAAAACTTCTTGGAATTACCAAATTTCTTGAGGCAGTCTACTCCCTTAATTGATAAAAAATAAACGATCACATTTAAATTAGTCTCGAACCTTGAGCAATTTACTCGAAAATTAGTTGATTGTTGTACCTTATTTATGGACGCTTCCGTGTGAGGCTTAGAACAAGACTCAATTACTTTATTTAATTCACTGGGTGAAAGTGTTTTTTTGCAATCGGTCAACAAATCGTACTCATTTTTGGGTGATAGATCCTTTAAACAATAAAGACAATTATTAGTTAATTACCACAATAAGTCGTGATTAGCACTAACCTCAAGAGTTTTTGCAAGTCCAACGTAAGATATACACAAACTCTCAATAGGTGCTATTGTAGAGTTTTTCACCATTGAACAAAAGTTAGTATAAATCAAAAATGGATTGGTTAGGTTTTCATCACAATTGATTAAAGAAAATGAATTAATAATTAAGATAACGAACACAATTGATCTAATCATGATGATTGTCGTTGTTAAACTGATTTTAAAAACTTGGTGACAAATGTATTACAGACTGTAATTTACAGTCAAGTACAGTCAGACCTCTCATATTTTAGCAAAACGGGTAGGTAAATCCAATAGATGTCACTAGTCTATGAAGAGATGTGATTGGCTAAAATTGATTGAGAATATGTGTTATTTAATTTCCCATGGAAAAAGATTGAGGACAAACCTAAAATCCAATAGATGGAGCGATTTTGTTAAAATATGAAAGTGTTAAAATATGAATTTTTTAGCTCCTGATAAACTTTAATTTAATTAACTTTACCTGTGAATTTAAAATTGAATTTTATGTTATTATTATTTATCTTATCATACGGATCAAGTTGATACCAAAATTATGATAGTTCAACAGTTACTTTAGTTATTTTTGTTACTCTAAAAACTGAGCTATTATTGCGTCGTAATAACTTGAACCATTTTCTTTTTCTTGGTAAGTTTTGTTGATAATCTGATTCAATTTTCTTTTCTCTATTTCTTTGATTAGATTGAAATTCTAATTTTATTTGTTTATTATTATTTCTTTTTTTTTCGTTTCATACTTAATGAGTTAACCGTTTTTTGGACTTTGGACAATCAAACTAACCACTCAATTAATAATATTTATAAAAGCCCTAATGGGATTTGTATTGAAAGGACTCTAGTCCATTTGTTTTGAAAGGACATTTTGTCCATTTATTTTGAAAGGACATTTTGTCCATTGTGACTAAATTATATTTTTAAATTTTATCTCAAATTTGTATTCGGCCTCAGGGGAGAAAAATTGTTAATTATTGTATTGTTTTCTTTTCCTCATCAATTATTCCCTTCCTTGTCCCTCTTTCCCCTTTCCCTGGTACGGTCGTCATTACCGGAAACGATGAATTTTAATTCATCGAAGCCTCCCCTGAGGCCGCTGTTAAAGCTTAAAATAAATAAATATGAGAGGTCTGACTGTACCTAAAATTGTCCCCTTTTTGTACGGATTATTCGAAGGGCGGGCGATTTGAAAGGGGTGTAAATTAATCAATCATTTTGATCAAAAAAATATTTCACTTGAACTAATCCTCTAAACACTTAGAAATTGTCATGAAAATGATAATTTTAATTTTCTTAAATTATTTTGATGAGATTCAATCAAGAAAAAAAATATTCGCTCTAATTAATTCAATGGGGGCTAGTTCCAGTTAGATAGATGGAGCTACGATCGGTGGACAGTTTTAGGTAGAGTTGCTAGCCAATTGGTTAGTGTCGTGGACTCTGATCTACGATGACATGGGTTCAATCCCGACTTGCCCACCCTCTGATTAAACTGTAATTTCTCAAAAAAATTAAAAATGTAATAAAAACTTGTAACGGTTCAAGAGAGGTGCCCTATAAGCCTCTCTATATGCCCAAAAAGGGGCTTAACTAATAAAATTTAGGTACTGACAATTTCAGGTACTTGACTGTAATCAATTTGTACTTTTATATCAAACTAGATTAGATAATTTAGTCGTATCAAGACTGATCAAATAAAAAATTTTATTTATTTAAATGATTAATTGATTGTAAACAAGATCTACGTAGAAGTGTAAATGTCAAGTATTAATAGTTTATAACCGAGCGCCTCTGAACCAGAATTCACCAAGGATCGTACGTGTCTCAAGCATATTTACTCAATTGGTGCTAATTGTTTTTGTTGATTTTCTTTGGAACCTCAATGCAAATTGAACATTAATTTTAGGGCAATTATCTAGAATTAAACAACGTGAAATTCTAGATATCAGCAATTGATTTTCAGCCTGCTCTGTGTGATACTAAAAGGATAAAAGATATTGCAATTGTAATTAATTAAAGAAATAGAGATAAGGCTCAGGATATGTCCGAATCTTGAGCCTTACCCATTTTCGTTACAATTCGTCTTTTCTGGCCTGCGTGCGTTTAACTCTTATTAGGATGGTAACCAGCGGAGAAGATGCTAACGTCTATAAGCACGAACCTGTCGGCAGTTTAGTGGTCGCGGGGGATTTTAACTTCCGAAATTTGTCCGGCCACGATGTTCTCAACGCGACTCTCTACGAAAAAAAAGCCAAAAAACTCATAGCTTGGGTATGCATGGATTGTAAATTTTATGCCAAAAAGAATCGACCAGAAAAAATTAATGCATCGATTTCATCGCGACGAATGGAAATCTTAAATACGAAATTAAAGCCGTTTGGACGGATTATGGGTCTGGTAACATTTAGTTCGTCTTTATTTTGTTCTGGCATCACGAACATGGAAAAATAAAATAGAACCCTCATTTAAATCTTGGTCTGGGAGGAAAATTCATTTTTAATGAAAATATTCGCGAAAATGTCGATTGTGTTGATTATCATGAACCTTTCGAATCCAAGTTTGGCTTGAAATGACAAAATCGATTATAACAAGTGTCAAGTTAATCGTTTTTGATTAACTTTGCTATTTAGTTGATTTTGTACTTTTATTTTTGTATGTTTATGATCACAAAACTGGCAATACCTTGTGGAGATGGTAATAAGCTTGTATTTGTTGATTTCGATTCATCTGATTTAGTTAATGATTGATTAGTTAAATTGAGATTAATGTCCATTTGTTTCAGCTGATAATCTAATTGTTGAAGATTTTCTTGATTCATCTGGCTTTTTGTGTAATTGTGTTGATATTGAGCGTGACAAAGGACACCCGTTATATGGGTTTTTGGAAAGACTTTATGGAAAATGGAAACTCCTGAATTAACATCATTAGTATGATTAACATAACGACGATAAGAATCAAAATTAAAAAATAGAAATGCGATTGACTCATTACATGAGCCGATTGTATCACAAGCAAATGTTAGGTTGGACCTAAATTCAATCAGTGTCGCCTCAATGTGGTCCAATTCTTTCATAATCAAATCACCGTCATTATAATCATTTGAAACCAATGGATCGATTGATAAACTTGCTGCTGAACAATTTGATCCACTGAATTGTATTCCAATGAGTGACATTTTCTTTGGATTAAACATTGAATTATAAGGTGGAGGTCCGTTGATGAAGTAAAAGTTGGCCGTATCATCGGAATAGTAAAGGACAGTCGGTTGTCTAGTGACCAGTTTATCATTAACCTGAGCTCCTCCCAAGGCCAGTTGACCCTGAAAATGGTCAAAAATCGCATCAACCTGAGAATGGGCCAAATAATTACCATGATGACCAACTCCAGATGAGAAAAGTATGACCGCTTTAACATCATCGGGAAAATTAAAATCTTCCTCTAATTCATCGGTTGCCCGTTCGAAGATTGTTATTGTCACACCTTCGTATTTGGGTAGCATGAAACAAGAGATACCAAATAGGCCACATAAATCATAGCTTATTGTCATCGGGTCTTTGTATCGGCTTAATGTTGACTCTGAATCTTCACCAATTATCCCATAATGAGCGTCGATCCCAATAACAGCGCAATCATGAGGTAAACTTGAGCGAATAGTGTTGATCACTTTGGCTCGTTTCCAACGACGTTTTTTACCAATTTTAACATTATTACCTTCAAAGAGAATCAAACATTTAGGTTGAGAATATGATCTCTTTAAGGTGAATAAGAATTGATACTCGAAAATTTCTGGTCCTTTGATTATTGATCTTGTATCAAAATCGACGATACTCCCGATGGGATTTGCAAGACTTAATGTTCGCGATCTTTCAATGTAGAGTGAATTGAATCGATCAATTAGAAAGACTGAGATTATTTGGAAAATTTTCCTCTTTGATCGATCGACAGATTTTGCCAAATAATACCATTGACGACAAACTGAAAGGCACTGGTCAAGGCTCTTCTGGTCCAGATGAATGAATATATTGTTCAGTATAAGCTCATTTCGGGCGATTCTGGTCACCGCTGATTTATCTTTCTCGTCCATGGTTAATCAAAATCTAAAAGAATGACAAAAAAATAACAATTAGCCAAATGAATAAACCAAAATATTGTTACTTTGGTTAGTAAGAACCAAGAAACACTCATGTAAGGAGGTGAATCTTAATGACACTCACCATATAATTAGAAGCAGTTGATTAACAGGTAACAGGATAATTTAATTGTCTGGTTCGCATTTGAAATTAATTCAATCAATTTCCAATGTGAGGCCCAGAAAAATAAGCTCGAAATGAAGAAACAGCGACAGAGAAAAATTCAAAAAAAGGAAACAAAGAAAATCAAATGACCATCTGATTGGGAACTCTAATAGGATACAAACCAACAAAGGGACAATTAAAACAATCAATTTGTGACATTGAACTATTGGAAAGGGACAAACAATTAGAATTAAATTTAAAAACAAACGAGAAGATGAAACAAAACATCAATGGAAACTCATATTCACATGTTGGGTTAATGTCAAAACAAAAGGGGAAAAAGTGACGCGAATTTTGAAAATGAACAATCGGTTTATTTAAATGGAAAATCAATAAACTCCTTTAATTAATTGCAAGAAAATAAGATGATGAAAATTGTAAATTAAGAGAAAATTTTCTATCTTCAATCATGATGGTTATTAGAGTTTGTTGAAATTCGATCTAGTTTCTTATTGAATGTTTACTAATTGATATTGAATTTCAATCGATCTGGATTCTAATATTGATAATAATTCGTAGTTGAGTTAATTTGCAGAGATTATCAACAATTAGTGATAATGTTTTTGATCTATTAGATTTTCTGATTGCTCTTTAATCCAATCGACGAAATGGAAAACGTTCACGAAAACGTTTGGTTTAATTCGAGAGCCACATTCGAACCCGGAGGAAATGATTCCAACTAGAATATGTCGATCGTTTTCAATGTGAACCAAAGGTCCACCTCCGTCGCCGAGACAAGCACCTCCGAGAGCCTCGATTCCAGCGCAGATTGTAAGAGTTGGTAGGAAATCATTTATTCTCTGATCACAATAATCGTCAGATCGAAGGGTTAACGTTATTTTTTTTAGTTCCAAAGTTGGAGTCAGTCGGTCGATCTCACCAAATCCCATGGTAACTAAATCGATACCTGGTTCATATTGTTCATCAGGTAAGTTAATCGGTCCAATAGAATCGTCAAATTGAATTGGCTTAGTTAATTGTATCAAACAAATATCGTAATCATAATCAATGTAACCATGAGGATTAAGATGAAAAACTATTTCTTTCACTGGAAAATATTTCTCAATGTCCAACAATTTAATTGAATTGTCGTAATTTGGTCTGATGAAGGTCTTATCAAACTCTAATCTGTACAAACAATTAAGAAAACAGTTTGATTAGATTTGTATTATTGATTATCTCAAACAAATACTAACCCATCCACACAAACTGACGAGCTAATTATAATTGTTGGTTTGTAAATTATTCCGCCACAAACTAAGTCCAATTCACCATTAACTTGATGATGAATTGAAACATAGTATTTAAATTCACGAGAATCAGTTTCAACTGAGGTCCCATTGAAGATCATAGGGATTAACGGGAACTCATCTTCCGACGAAGGATCGTTTTCATTATGATCCTCATTCAACACTGATTGCTGACTAATTGTAATCAAATCGGCGAGAACAATAAAAATAAGTGTAAATATCATTTGAAACTGAGTCAGAAAACTATTATCAATAATTAGCTTTGAAATACAACCAAACTGATGCTGTTGATATTTTAATATCAACAAGTTTGAAAATATCAACTTAATCATTAAGAGCAAGTCAACAATATGGTTTACAGTTTTTATTCTCAGTAAATAATTGAGAATATCTTTGAGCATAAAGCCATCGAACTTGAGTTAGCAACCAATTCCATTACATTCGGACAGGTATTGATGATTAGTCAGAACTCTATTCACTACATGTAAATCGGATGACCATTTGTAAAGATAATACATGTATCTTAAAATATCGACCATTATCATGCATTTTATCATTAACTGCAACTAATTAAGACATTAGAATGATTTTTAATTAATAGCTTTTCAATGAATGTGTCAACTATTTCAATTGATGTGAATCGACTAATCAAAATTTTATCAACAATTAGCTTTGAAATATTACAATCAGAATGGTGTTGATGTGGAAACATAAGCTGTGATCTTTGAGATGGAGTTAACAACATGGTTAAAAGTTTAATGATTAATTTGATTGATTGTGAATTAGTATCATTAACATAATCAGAATTGAGTTACATGCAAATGATTAAGAATATTTTACAAGTTGATTCTTAGCACAATCGAGATTTCGACTCCAAAAGAGTTCGAATCCAATCAACATAAGCGAAAACCTTCATATTAACGCCATAATCTGATCCACAATCAGCTCCGAATGAGACAATTCCCACAATAACGACTTTACTACCTTCCATTTGAACTAAAGGTCCACCAGAATCTCCCTTACACGAATCTTCACCCATCGGACCAGCAGTGCAAAAATGACGATCATCGTGGAAAGACTTGGGCCAAAACTGAGAGCAGAGAAAGTCAGGCTGTTTGGTGAGACGAGCAGTTCGAAGTTGTATCGAAATTGGTCCATCAGTCCACATTCTACCAAAACCCATAACATATACACTGGTTCCATCCCCGACTTCTTCTGAAGGCAAGGAAATTGATTTAATACGATCACTAAACTCTATCGGTGTATCCAAAAGTACAAGACAAATATCATGAACATTTGCTTCTTCATGAGTGCTAATATTCGAGATTCCATAATAAAGCTCTAACGGTATATCGTTAATAGTATTGTCGTAATTAGGACGAATGAAAACCTTACTTAGAACCTCCCTGATAAGATTTAAGACAAAATTATAAGAGAGAAGAACTCAAACTCGATAGGATTACTAACCCTTTGAAACAATGATAAGCCGTTATAACGACGTCCGGTCTCAGAATTGCACCACCACAAAAAACAGTTAAACTGCCGTCTTCGTTTAGACGAGCTAATGTAACCATGTAATAATAATCAGAGCTGTCGGCTGGAACGACATCGCCATTAACAATAGTAAGACTCTTGGTGATTGTTGTTGGTCTCTTTTGATTCAGTTGAAAACCATCCATAGAAAAACATTGACAAATCATCGACAATCCAATCGTCACAATCAACATAAACTCCATTTTAAAAATCAATCAATCAATCAATCAAACTAATCGAGACTTTGGAAGCTTGTTAATAACAAATGCGTAAATTGTTTTTTAGATGCAAATGTTTATTTCAATTTTAATCGACTAATAAAAATATCATATTTCATAACGGGTTGTGAGTAAATATAATTCAATTCTTTTGAATTCATTGTTAATTCATTGTTAATTATTGATGATTAGTTATTGAATTATTGATATTAATATATTAATGATCTGAATGTTTGTCGATTGAGATAATCAGATGAACGAAAAAAAATTTTGTTGTAACTAGAACTTGAGTTGAGCTGATCAACTTTTCGTCGAAATCTTAATCGGATTTAATTGTTCGCGTTTAAATGTAACAATTGAATTTCAATAGTGTTATTGGTTTTATTTACTTTAATTGCACAGTTGATTGAGTTGTGGTCACCCAGATAGTGACCACAACTCGAGATGATATTTTCAAGACTTTTATTAATAAATTACCTTGAATATAATTGCAATTGGATTTTGGCTCTTGTCTCATTGATGAACATTATTTATGAAAAATTCAGTCAATTAATCACAATTAAGATGAACATAGAGAGATACAGAGCAGTCATAATAGTAAATTGTTTTGATATCAAGTGATGTTTAGTTAAATTGTGCTGATTCCTTCAATTATGAATACCAACAATTAAGCTTTTCCATTGACTTTTAGTAACCAGTTAATTCAGCAAAAGTTTGTGATTAACAATCAATTCGTAACAATTAAACAAACCTTCAAGCCTATCGACGTCCTTTTGTAATTTCATGACAGTTCGTTCAGCAAACTCAGCTCGAGCTTCAGCCTAGTTAATCAATTGAAATGAATCAGAATTAGAACCACAATCAATTAATCATTACAGCGAAATTACCTCTTTGAGTTGAGCGCTGATTATCCTGATTTGCTGTTCGAAAGCATCTTCCCGTTGCATGGCCTTAGTTCACAATAAACAAGCGATTAATAGAGCTCGACAAAAATCTATTCTAATGATTGGATGAAGCCGAGACTTTATGTTGTACGGCGGATTTAAATCCACGGTTTTGTAGCTCCGGAAACTGTTCCATTAAAGTAACAGTTTCTGTAGTCAGCAAAGTCCTACCCTACCTCCGCGTGGTGCTGACTGGATAACTCTAACAGGGATAAGGCACATACTTAAGGAACTTGTCATGAAAAGTTACATCTAAAAAATTGGGTCCGATCGGTGCATCATGGTGTCCCAAAAAACTTACATTTAATTCCCAAGGTAAAAATAATTTTTTCATTCTGATCAGTCCGTTCGACTCAGCTCACAGAGAGATTTCTATTGATACCTATTTCAAAATGTTCGGAAAAGTTCAGCAAAAAATCCCACATTTTGGCATCATCCATATAACAGTTACAATCAAGATTGTGTTGTTGATATAGAAACATAAGTTGTGATCGTTAAGATAAAGTTAACAATATGGTTAGAAGTTTAATGATTAGTTAGATTGATTGTATATTATTATCATTAACATAATCAGAATTGAGCAAAGAGTAATAGCTTATAATTTAATGTTATATTATAATATTAAATATTAATTTGATTAAGAACATTTTGCAAGTTGATTCTTAGTACAATCGAGATTTCGACTACATATATAAAAGAATTTGAATCCAATCAACATAAGCAAGAACCTTCATATTAACGCCAAAATATGAACTACATTCAAGTCCGAATGCAACAACACCCACAATAACGAGTTTATTACCTTCCATTGCAACCAAAGGTCCACCAGAATCTCCCTTACACGAATCTTCACCCATCAGACCAGAAGTACAAAATTGACGATCAGCATGGAAAAGAGTGTACCAAAACTGAGAGCAGAGAAAATCACGCTGTTTGATGAGACGAGCGACTCGAAGTTGCATCGAAATAGGTCCATTAAACCATAATTGACCAAAACCCATAATATATACACTGGTTCCATCCTCGATCTCCTCTGAAGGCAAAGAAATCGATCCAATACGCTCACTTAACTCTAACAGTGTATCCAAAAATACAAGACAAATATCATTAATATCTGCTTCTTCACGATAGCTTACTCTCGAGATTCCATAATAAAGCTCTAACGGTATATCGTTAATAGTATTGTCGTAATTAGGACGAATGAAAACCTTACTTAGATCCTCCCTGATACGATTAAAGACAAAATTATAAGAGAGAAGAACTCAAACTCGATATGATTACTCACCCTTCGAAACAATGATAAGCCGTTATAACGACGTCCGGTCTCAGAATCGCACCACCACAAAAAACAGTTAAACTGCCGTCTTCTTCTAGACGAACTAATGTTACGAGGAAAAAAAAATCAGAATTGTCAGCGGGAACTATATCGCCATTAACAATTCTAAGACTATTGGTGATTGTTGTCGGTCTCGTTTGATTCAATTGGAAACCATCCATAGAAAAACATTGACAAATCATCGACAATCCAATCGTCACAATCAACATAAACTCCATTTTAAAAATCAATCAATCAAACTAATCGAGACTTTGGAAGCTTATCAATAACAAATGAGTAAATTGTTGTTTAGATGCAAGTGTTTATTTCAATTTTAATACACTAATAAAAATATTATATTTCATAACGGGTTGTGATTAAATATAATTCAATTCTTTTGAATTCATTGTTAATTCATTGTTAATTATTGATGATTAGTTATTGAATTATTGATATTAATATATTAATGATCTGAATGTTTGTCGATTGAGATAATAAGATTTTTTCGTAACTAGAAATTGAGTTGAGCTGATCAACTTTTCGTCGAAATCTTAATCGGATTTAATTGTTCGCGTTTAAATGTAACAATTGAATTTCGATAGTGTTATTGGTTTTATTTACTTTAATTGCACAGTTGATTGAGTTGTGGTCACCCAGATAGTGACCACAACTCGAGATGATATTTTCAAGACTTTTATTAATAAATTACCTTGAATATAATTGCAATTGGATTTTGGCTCTTGTCTCATTGATGAACATTATTTATGAAAAATTCAGTCAATTAATTACAAGTAAGATGAACATAGAGAGATATAGAGCAGTCATAATAGTAAATTGTCTTGATATCAAGTGATGTTTAGTTAAATTGTGCTGATTCCTTCAATTATGAATACCAACAATTAAGCTTTTCCTTTGAATTTTAGTAACCAGTTAATTCAGCAAAAGTTTGTGATTAACAATCAATTCGTAACAATTAAACAAACCTTCAAGCCTATCGACGTCCTTTTGTAATTTCATGACAGTTCGTTCAGCAAACTCAGCTCGAGCTTCAGCCTGACGAAATGAGAGGTTGTCGAAAGAAAAATGACCTTAAGTCCATATCCTAAGATAGAAAAATATTTAATCCAAAAGCTTTTGTCAGTCGATAAATCATAATAAGAACTGAATCTGTGCAAAAAATCACGACGAAATTCTGTTTGGTTTACGTGATATAATCGAAAAACAAAAAAGCTTCGATCGCCAATTGTGGCCTAACCAGAATTTTTTTAGCACTTTTAAAAACGGTTAGAGAGGTTTTATTGAATGCTCTAACTAAAACAATTGTTAATTTTGTGTTTGACGGAGGTCGGTTTTAGGGTTGACATACCCCTTTAATATTATATTATAATATTATATTATTAAATATTAATTTGATTAAGAATAATTTGCAAGTTAATTCTTATTACAATCGAGATTTCGACTATAAAAGACTTTGAATCCAATCAACATAAGCAAGAACCTTCATATTAACGCCAAAATCTGTTCCACAAACCACTGGTCCGAATGCAACAATACCCCCAATAACGAGTTTATTACCTTCCATTAAAATCAAAGGTCCACCAGAATCTCCCAGGCACGAATCTTCACCCATCGGACCAGCAGTACAAAATTGACGATCAGCATGGAAAGAAATGGGCCAAGTCTGAGAGCAGAGAAAATCACGCTGTTTGATGAGACGAGCGACTCGAAGTTGCATCGAAATAGGTCCATTAAACCATAATTGACCAAAACCCATAACATATACACTGGTTCCATCCATGATTTCTTCTGAAGGCAAGGAAATTGAATTAACACGATCACTAAACTCAATCGGTGCATCCAAAAATACAAGACAAATATCATTCATATAAGCTTCTTCACGATAGCTAACCTTCAAGATTCCATAATAAAGCTCTAACGGTATATCGTTAATAGTATTGTCGTAATTAGGACGAATGAAAACCTTACTTAGATCCTCCCTGATACGATTAAAGACAAAATTATAAGAGAGAAAAACTCAAACTCGATAGGATTACTCACCCTTCTAAACAATGATAAGCCGTTATAACGACGTCTCGTCTCAGAATCGCACCACCACAAAATGAAAATAAACTTCCGTATTCTTCTAGACGAGCTAATGTTACGAGGAAAAAATAATCAGAACTGTCAGCGGGAACTATATCGCCATTAACAATTCTAAGACTATTGGTGATTGTTGTCGGTCTCGTTTGATTCAGTTGAAAACCATCCATAGAAAAACATTGACAAATCATCGACAATCCAATCGTCACAATCAACATAAACTTCATTTTAAAGATCAATCAATCAAACTAATCGAGACTTTGGAAGTTTCAATTTTAATCGACTAATAAAAATATCATATTTCATAACGGGTTGTGAGTAATTATAATTCAATTCTTTTGAATTCATTGTTAATTCATTTTTAATTATTCATGATTAGTTATTGAATTAACGATATTAATATTTTCATGATCTGAATGTTTGTCGATTGAGATAATCAGATGAACGAAAAAAAATTTTCTTGTAACTAGAACTTGAGTTGAGCTGATCAACTTTTCGGTGAAATCTTAATCCAATTACCAAATCACCCAAACTCCTGGTACTCCAGTTGGACCAACAACCATCAAGCTGTTGCCTCTCCCAATTAAGCTGAATGACAATTTTTATTTAGATCTGAAGACCAAATTAATTGCTGCTGATCAGGTAAATGCTGATAGTATCAATTCTGCTATGCTAAAGCTGTTAACCCAATACATTTAATACTTTATCAAAATTTATAACAATTACAATCAAGATGGTGTTGATACGAAAACATAAGTTGTGATCTTCGAGACCAAGTTAACAGCATGGTTAAAAGTTTAATGATTAGTTTGATTGATTGTGAATTAGTATCATTAACATAATTAGAATTGAGTTACATGCAAATGATTAAGAATAATTTGCAAGTTGATTCTTAGTACAATCGAGATTTCGACTATAAAAGACTTTGAATCCAATCAACATAAGCGAAAATCTTCATATTAATGGCATAATCTGATCCACATTTACCTCCGGCAACGGTAATACCCGCAATAACATCTTTATCACCTTCCATTAGAACCAAAGGTCCACCAGAATCTCCCTGACACGAATCTTCACCCATCGGACCATCAGTACAAAATTGATAATTATCATCGAAATTATTCGTGCCCCAAGTCTGAATGCAGATAAAGTCAGGCTGTTTGATGAGACGAGCGACTCGAAGTTGCATCGAAATAGGTCCATCAGTCCACAAAAAACCAAAACCCAAAACATCCACACTGGCACCATCCTCGATCTCCTCTGAAGGCAAGGAAATTGATCCAATACGATCACTAAACTCTATCAGTTTATCCAAATATACAAGACAAATATCATGAATATCTGATTTTTCATAAATTCTAATATCCAGGATTCCATAATAAAGCTCAAACGGTATATCGTTAATAGTATTGTCGTAATTAGGACGAATGAAAACCTTACTTAGATCCTCCCTGATACGATTTAAGACAAAATTATAAGAGAGAAAAAACTCAAACTCGATAGGATTACTCACCCTTCTAAACAATGATAAGCCGTTATAACGACGTCCGGTCCCAGAATCGCACCACCACAATAAAAAAATAAACTGCCGTCTTCGTTTAGGCTATGCAATGTAACCATGTAATAAAAATCAGCACTGTCGGTGGGAACGACATCGCCATTAACAATAGTAAGACTCTTGTTGATTGTTGTCGGTCTCGTTTGATTCAATTGAAAACCATCCATAGAAAAACATTGACAAATCATCGACAATCCAATCGTCACAATCAACATAAACTTCATTTTAAAGATCAATCAATCAAACTAATCGAGACTTTGGAAGCTTGTTAATAACAAATCAGTAAATTGTTGTTTAGATGCAAATGTTTATTTCAATTTTAATCGACTAATAAAAATATCATATTTCATAACGGGTTTTGAGTCAATATTGTGAGAGTCTACCCGAGCAGTAACGTAACCAACTAACCAACTAACCAACAGTGCAGGGAAATTCCCTGAGGGAATCAACTCCTTGCTTCCTCCTTTGTTTGATTTCTTAATCATAGTCAAGGTGAAGTAACCTTTCCACCTTGACACCTAAGTATATACTGAGTTGGTGAACACACCAACAAGATATGAGATGATATGAGATGAGCATTGATCTTACATGTAACCTAACAACGCCTTTGTCCTTTCAATCATTAAACTTTTAAACATTTCTAATTGTGAACCTTCCAGTGTTTAACCACATTAAGTACAAACCAATTCAATCTCACAAATATAATTCAATCCTTTTGAATTCATTGTTAATTATTCATGATTAGTTATTGAATTATTAATACAGTCACACCTCTCTAATTTCACCCCCACCGGACCCAAAAAACTTGTGAAATTTGGGAAATTGTGACTTTATGGAAATCTATTAATTCTTAATTATAGAGGTGAAAATCAATGTTTTTTGCATTTACTTCTTGGAATCTTATTTACAACACCGAATTGATCCTTAACCCTCTTCATTATCTCTTGTTGAGTAACTTTTTCTCTTTCTGTAATAATAATCTTTGGGATCTCTCAAAAAAATGATGCAATTTACTGGCTGATTCCAAAATTTAAGCCAAATTAGCTCATTTTCATTGGACAAAAACACAATTACCATGGTGAATCTCACAAATTGCCCTGAAATAGTGTGATTGTGAGATTGGAGAGTGTGACATATTATAACTATATTCTCTATCTCCTTAATCGGGGAAAAATTAAATTGTGAAATTAAAGAATTTGTGACATAATAGAGGGGGCGATTAGAGAGGTGTGACTGTATTAATGTTTTAATGATCTGAATGTTTGTCGATTGAGATAATCAGATGAACGAAAAAAAATTTTGTTGTAACTAGAACTGTAGTTGAGCTGATCAACTTTTCGGTGAAATCTTAATCGGATTTAATTGTTCGCGTTTAAATGTAACAATTGAATTTCGATAGTGTTATTGGGTTTATTTACTTTAATTGCACAGTTGATTGAGTTGTGGTCATCCAGATAGTGACCACAACTCGAGATGATATTTTCAAGACTTTTATTAATAAATTACCTTGAATATAATTGCAATTTGATTTTGGCTCTTGTCTCATTGATGAACATTATTTATGAAAAATTCAGTCAATTAATCACAATTAAGATGAACATAGAGAGATATAGAGCAGTCATAATAGTAAATTGTTTTGATATCAAGTGATGTTTAGTTAAATTGTGCTGATTCCTTCAATTATGAATACCAACAATTAAGCTTTTCCATTGACTTTTAGTAACCAGTTAATTCAGCAAAAGTTTGATCCATTTCATCACTGATTGCTTTATATTTATGCCTATCGACGTCCTTTTGTAATTTCATGACATATGAATACATAGTAGTCAAAGAGAGAGAAAAGTACCTCATCGTATTTACGATCAGCGTCTTCGGCCGCGTTTCTGGCCTCCTTGAGTTGAGCCTCCAATTGTCTCATTCGATCATTGTCAGTTGCACTTCGATGCTCCAACATTTTTCTTATTCTAAATTGTCACAATCAAGAAAATTTTCGCATTTAGATGGATCAATCTATCTTTCGTTTACCTTTTCTTACCTTTCACTTTAGTCGGCAGCGGCTGAGGCCTGTTCCATTTTAACTATGGCCACTTTTGTCTTCTGATCGCTCCAAATCTTCAACTAATTGTTGCACCTTCTTGTTCAAAGCATTCATTTCAGCTTCAGCCTGTGACAATTAAGATAAATTGTTCATTAAAATATTCTAATCATGATTAACCCTAAACACTGTTGATTAACTGATACGAAAATATTTAGACTTGGTTCAAGTTTTTCAACAATGACTGGCGAAGGGGAAATTTCAAGTCTCGCAAAACTCAATTTAACTATTGGATCGATTTCCCATTCCATATTTGCTTATGTCACAAATTTACTTTGTGTTGATCTGCTGTTGGGATTGGATTTGATTTGGAAATTAAATCTCAAATGTGATTCCAATTACCAAATCACCCAAACTCCTGGTACTCCAGTTGGACCAACAACCATCAAGCTGTTGCCTCTCCCAATTAAGCTGAATGACAATTTTTATTTAGATCTGAAGACCAAATTAATTGCTGCTGATCAGGTAAATGCTGATAGTATCAATTCTGCTATGCTAAAGCTGTTAACCCAATACATTTAATACTTTATTAAAATTTATAACAATTACAATCAAGATGGTGTTGTTGATATGGAAACATAAGTTGTTATAGTTAAGATAAAGTTAACAATATGGTTAGAAGTTTAATGATTAGTTTGATTGATTGTGAATTAGTATCATTAACATAATTAGAATTGAGTTACATGCAAATGATTAAGAATAATTTGCAAGTTGATTCTTAGTACAATCGAGATTTCGACTATAAAAGACTTTGAATCCAATCAATATAAGCGAAAACCTTCATATGAATGCTATATTCTGATCCACATTTACCTCCGGCTACGACAACACCCGCAATAACATCTTTATCACCTTCCATTAGAACCAAAGGTCCACCAGAATCTCCCATGCACGTATTTTCACCCATCGGACCAGTAGTACAAAATTGAAAATTAGCATCAAAATCCGTGGACCAAAAGTGATAGCAGTCTAAGTCAGGCTGTTTGATGAGATGAGCACTTCGAAGTTGTGTCGAACCAGGTCCATCAAACCTTATTTGACCAAAACCCAAAACATTTACACTGGTTCCATCCCTGATCTCCTCTGAAGGCAGGGAAATTGGTCCAATACGATCATTAAACTCTATCAGTTTATCCAAATATACAAGACCAATCTCATGAATACCTGATTCTTCATTATAAGTGCGTATATCCAGGATTCCATAATAAAGCTCTAACGGTAAATCGTTAATAGTATTGTCGTAATTAGGACGAATGAAAACCTTACTTAGATCCTCCCTGATACGATTTAAGACAAAATTATAAGAGAGAAAAACTCAAACTCGATAGGATTACTCACCCTTTCAAACAATGACGAGCCGTTAGAACGACGTCCGGTCCCAGAATCGCACCGCCACAAAAAACAAAAAAACTGCCGTCTTCGTTTAGGCTATGCAATGTAACCATGTAATAAAAATCAGTACTGTCGGCCGGAACGACATCGCCATTAACAATTCTAAGACTATTGGTGATTGTTGTTTGTCTCGTTTTATTCAATTGGAAACCATCCATAGAAAAACATTGACAAATCATCGACAATCCAATCGTCACAATCAACATAAACTTCATTTTAAAAATCAATCAATCAAACTAATCGAGACTTTGGAAGCTTGTTAATAACAAATCAGTAAATTGTTGTTTAGATGCAAATGTTTATTTCAATTTTAATACACTAATAAAAATATCATATTTCATAACGGACTGTGAGTAATTATAACTCAATTCTTTTTGAATCTATGGTTAATTATTCATGATTAGTTATTGAATTATTTTAATGATCTGAATGTTTATCGATTGAGATAATCAGATAAACGAAAAAAAATATAGTCGTAACTAGAACTTGAGTTGAGCTGATCAACTTTTCGTCGAAATCTTAATCGGATTTAATTGTTCGCGTTTAAATGTAACAATTGAATTTCGATAGTGTTATTGGGTTTATTTACTTTAATTGCACAGTTGATTGAGTTGTGGTCACCCAGATAGTGACCACAACTCGAGATGATATTTTCAAGACTTTTAAATTACCTTGAATATAATTGCAATTGAATTTTGGCTCTTGTCTCATTGATGAACATTATTTAAGAAAAATTCAGTCAATTAATCACAATTAAGATGAACATAGAGAGATATAGAGCAGTCATAATAGTAAATTGTTTTGATATCAAGTGATGTTTAGTTAAATTGTGCTGATTCCTTCAATTATGAATACCAACAATTAAGCTTTTCCATTGACTTTTAGTAACCAGTTAATTCAGCAAAAGTTTGATCCATTTCATCACTGATTGCTTTGTATTTCTCTTTCTCATGAGCCCATTCATCTAAACAGCCAAAGGAAGAAAAATTGAAACAATCAGTTAATTTCGAGACTGAATGAAGAAAAAAAATTAACAATCAATTCGTAACAATTAAACAAACCTTCAAGCCTATCGACGTCCTTTTGTAATTTCATGACAGTTCGTTCAGCAAACTCAGCTCGAGCTTCAGCCTAGTTATTCAATTGAAATGAATAAGAATTAGAACCACAATCAATTAATCATTACAGCGAAATTACCTCTTTGAGTTGAGCGCTGATTATCCTGATTTGCTGTTCGAAAGCATCTTCCCGTTGCATGGCCTTAGTTCACAATAAACAACCGAATTAATTTGATTCCAAACAATTACCAGTAAATCAACTAACCTTTTCTTCACTAACTTCCAATGACTTAACATTGTTCCCACTTTAACTTCTAAGTTCTAATATTTTCTAAAAATCTGAAAAATAAAGGACAATAATAAAGAAACTGATTACTCAATCATTTCTCATTTGAACAATTCAGATTTTCACTGATCTACTTTTTCTCAGTTTGAATTTTCCTCAGCTCTTTCCAAATCATCTTCAACTTGAGCTAATTTACGAGCGACCTGCAATTAAGACACAGAAAAATTAACTCAAATACTAAATAACCAATCAGAATTTAAAACAATAAAATTTTTTGTATGAAATTTCATTCGAATTGTTGAAAAATCTCAATCCATTCAAATCTCGTGTCAATCAATTTTCGTTTCGCCTCATCTTCGTTTACCTTTTCTTACCTTTCACTTTCGTCGGCAGCGGCTGAAGCCTGTTCCATCTTAACTATGGCCACTTTTGTCTTCTCCTCTGATCGCTCCAAATCTTCAACTAATTGTTGCACCTTCTTGTTCAAAGCATTCATCTCAGCTTCAGCCTGTTACAATTAAGATTAATTGTTCATTAAAATATTCTAATCATGATTAACCCTAAACACTGTTGATTAATTGATACGAAAATATTTAGACTTGGTTCAAGTTGTTGATTTAATTAAACCAAACCACTCATTTGGTGTATCAACACTCAGCTAGTAATCACTTTGGATAATGATTATAATCGGATTATCTAATTGTTGATCCATAAATCACTTCTTCTTATTGGGATTGAGTTTAAATTGTTCTCGAAAATTAGACTTACATTAGCAAAGGCTTTTTCCTTCTCGTCCAATTGTTCATTAACTCTTTCCAATTCTTGTTGTGATTCAGTTAATTCATTTTCAATTTGTTCCAATTTCTTTTGCAAATTCATCACTTCCTCATTGGCCTGAAAGGGTTGAGAATTGAAAAGAATCAAAATAAATCCCAATCGATTGCACAATTAACAAAAAAGACACAAAATTGTCGATCAACAATCCATATTGATTTGTTTGTCTTTTCAATCACATTTTCACAGAATCCACACAATTGATTTAATCCAACGATTAACATGATTATCGATAATCTTACCTTATCAACTCGTAGATTAGCATCTCGAAGTTGATTATCAGCGGCCTCAGCTCGATCCATAGCATTGTCCTTCTCGATTTTGAGAGCCTGCATCTTTTTCTTGATAGCGTCCATTTTGATTCCTGATTGATTACTTTTCTGGTCAATTAACTTAACTACAAAAAAAGAGAGAGAAACAATTACTTAACTAATTCACTATTGCAATCAACTAATTGTATCCGAAACAAGTGGAAACTTACACAGGGAATCAAATACTTGGAAAGAGTATTAACAAGGTGAGTACGTTGAATGAAGGCAACAAGTTATTTCTCACTTTTTTCTGATACTTTAGCCAAAAAAAAATCGAATTCACTTTGACACCATTGGTTGAGGAAAGTACTAATAGTGAAAATGTACAGGCGCTAAAAAAGAAGGAAAAAAGAGGAAATAAGATCACATACAGAATAAGAGATTATTACATCAGAGATTTTTTTCGAAAGAAGATGAACAATTTTCTCTCTCCTCCTACTACTATAATCTCTCATCATATTCATCTTCTTCTTACCTATCATCCTCTCCCTCTCTCTCTCTCTCTCTCTCTCTTTCTCTCTCTATTTTCCTTTCTTTAGGCTGATCGGTGCAATCGAAAGACTCGCCACCACCATTGAGGTTTATTTTCAATTTCCAAGAGGCGTGTTGATCGAGTGATTTTTCAGAACTCGAACCATATAAGTTTAGGTAAAGACGAAATTCTCTCTACCAATAGATAGTAAAATTTTCTAAAAGTGGTTCCTCTCCCTCTCTCTCTCAATCAGCTCAATTTACCTCCCTCTTAGACCCACACCCACTCTCTTTTTCTCCCTCGAACAAGGCAAAATCTATCAATCAGACTCGAGAAAAATTCGACTTGGAAAATGATTTTCTCTTCCCAATCAAAGATTCGCATTCTGATACCTTGAGGTTATTTCATATTCATTCGTTGTCGAAACGATAACAATTGGAGAAGGACAAAAATCTCCATTGAAATTGAGTTTCCATGTGAAAATCACAGAGACAAGAATCACTGATTGTTGAGGATAATTTAAATTGTCTAAATTTAGATTTAGAGAAAAAAAATTTTCGTAATTAACCAAAGGAGAAGGAAAAAAGGTCCATAGGAAACCATAGGCTCTCTCGTTATGTTTACCCAGCAATTTATTTTCGTCTCAAGATGATTAACATTCACAATTTAATTTGGTTCTTCCGTTAAGATTATCTGATTTAATTCAAGTGTAATATTGAATTTACAATGATAATGGTGTTTCCTCGTCCTTGGAATGTTAATCAACCAAGTTGATTAACATCTAAATTGTTGTTCTTTCTGCTGATTATTATGTAATAATTAAACTTGAACAAAAGTCTCTCTTTGTCTTAATCCAAAGAGATCAAGTTAATTGCCAAGAATTAAAGTTATCGAAAAATTTTTCTCATCAGCTAATCTGTAATACGATCAGTCTAATGTAAGTGATCACAATCAGATATACTTAATATTGATTGTCAGCTATGATTAACTGAGATATAACTTTCTCAACTATCAATCCCAAAACAATTAAGCTAACAATCAATTTTCTTGATTACATGATTAACTTAACATCCAACTGATTGAAGTTTCCAACAACAATTGCCAAACTCTAATAACTCAATTAACTTCCAACAATTAAAAATTCTCATTCTCAAAGTTTCCACGACTTTTTTTGTTAAAATGTTCATTTCGAGTTCTAACAAGTTCGATTTACCTAACCTCAGATCACTTTGGATCCGAACTATTAATAGCGACAATGTCCTTTTCTCTTCAAGTACCAACGAAATTTGTTCTTACGTACATTTCATTCATCGAACCATCGAGTTAATTATCTCCCGAAAATCGTAACAATTAAATCGTATTCTTCACGGAAAAGGTCAAAATCAAACTTTCAAAATTTTGGTTCTTTTTTAATCGAACTCAACAATCGATGTATCGAAATTTTCAGAATCATCTGTTAATCACTTTTGTTTTGAATCCATTTCCTCAAAATGTAACAATTAAATTAGATTATTTAATAGAATTCTAATTGTTTTCATTTCCGTTTAAATTTATAGACAATTTAATGTGATTCTCATTTCTTTTTGACTCCTATTCAAAGTCAAAGTTTAACACTTTTGCCTCGTTTCAATTATTTGCAAATTCATTGTTGTTGATTGTCAATCAATTGGATTTTTTTTATTCTCTTTTGTAATTATTTATCTTTGATTATCTGATCTTTAATCACTTTCATTTGGGTTTATATTGGATAATTATGTCTTCATTTTATAATGTAAACATTATCGAAGAGATTACTAAACATCGTAAGACCAAACCGAGTAATCAACATGAGCTGTTAATGGTTCACACTCTTTCATCTGATCAAAAGATGTTCAATTTTTATAAAAATTCCGACTTGGTGGCGAAGATTAAACAAGTCGTTCCAATCACCGAACTGTCCAACAAATGTACACAGCGAATGTTATCTATGCAATCAGCGAATACCAATTGTTCCGAAACGATCGATAATCAGAAACCGTTAGAAAGTCGAGATGTGTTTTTCCTTCTTCTTCTCGAATGGTTTAAAACAGAATTTTTTACTTGGTTCGATTCGGGTTATTGTACATCGTGTGAAATTCCCATGAAATTATCTAGTCGTCGACCTGCGGATGGAGAAGAGGCCAGTTGGCTTGCGAGTAACGTTGAAGTTTATACTTGCTCTAAATGCCAGGCAATAGAAAATTTCCCTCGATATAATCACCCGATTAAATTGTTAGAAACTCGAAAAGGACGATGTGGTGAATGGCGAAATTGTTTCTCCGCGATATGTGTCACCTTTAATTATACCATTCGTTTGGTTACCGATTTTCAAGATCATGTTTGGAATGAGATTTACTTGGACTCTCAGAAACGATGGATACACTTTGATTGTTGCGAAAATGTATTCGACACTCCGTTAATGTACGAAGTGGGCTGGGGCAAGAAGCTAATCTATTGTATTGCCTCCTCTCAATACGAATGTCAAGATGTTACCATGCGATATACTCGAGACCATCTTAGTGTTTTGGACAGACGACAAGGTCGATGTCGACCTGATTGGCTCAATTATTATCTTTTACATATATCGTCTAAACTGCAACGAAAGTGTGACGAGAGCTTAAAGTTGAAACTTCTTAATCGTCGATTCGCTGAACTTTCATCGTTAATTGTCATTCCAGGGATGGAGAAAAAGTTGAAAGAAAATGAGAAGCAAAGTCGCACCTCGGGATCAATTGCTTGGCGAGTCGCTCGTGGTGAATGTTCAACTAATCAATCATCTCATGTAATTAGATTTAACAAGCATACAAATGATGACTCACATCGATTTACTTATCAATCAGTTTTGGACATTTACCTTACTGATGGTGACAAATTATCGGGTTGGTCAAGTGCGACTTTTTCTTGTGAAAATATTTATAAAAAAGTTGAAAGGGATTGGAAAATGACCTACCTTTGCCGACGAGAGAATAGTAATTGTTTGGAAAAAGGTTTTCTAACCTACAAATTTGACGTTCGTTTCGATTGGACTTTCCTAATGGTCAAAATTGATTCAAAGACCTATGAGACTGGTCAAATTTCCGCTAGACTGACCAGTGAACCAAAATCTGTTGATATTCCGTTGAAACTTGATGAGATAAATTCACTGAATCGATCCGATTTCACCAAAGAAATTGATTATCTTTTGATGACCATCACTTTGTCCGGAGGTTCGGGTGACATTGGTTGGCAACAAGCTCAACTTTTCCGTAAATCAACATTAGGTACACAAGACGATTACTCATTAGACGTAATCTTTACTAAATAATCAACAATTAACTATAGATTATTGATCAACTTTCACCCGAAATTAAAAGTGATCAACAAAACGATTCAATCGTAACCAATTCGAATCCCGTTCAATTGTGATAACCTTTATCAAAGCTAAATCATTGTTTATCGCTGATCCATTTTCCTTAACACAATCAAATAATTTTTCATAAAATCGCAATTTGTTAATTGTTAACAATCAAACAAAATGGATCAGTAAATAAAAAGATATTTAAAATACTCGATCCATTGGATCAGATATTTGATGATCAGATGTTGAGTTTGTTTGGATTGTTGTTCAATTAATTTCAATTGTGAATTTAATTTTAGTTTAATCATGTCAGCATTGGATAAGAATTTGCTTCGTCTAAAATATAACAAATTAACTCCACGACCAATTGGATTACCAAGTGGAAGTGCCAATCGATCTGTTGGTAACAACGCTTCTCGTTTTAAGCGAGACTATAAGCCGATTGATTATAAAGATTATTTTGAATGTTTCAAGACAATTAATCTAACTGATTCTGGTGAAGATTCTTTCAGAGTTTATTTATCTGGTTTCCAGAAAGATTCAACCTCATCCTCCCTGGTTTTGGTTCTTTTACATGGCGGCGGTTATTCGGGTTTAACTTGGTCGTTGTTCACTAAACATATCAGAGAATTGTGTGTCTGTCGTGTCATAGCGATCGATTTAAGAGGCCACGGTGGGTCATCTTGTAAGAACGAGACTGACCTATCGGTTCCCACATTGACCAGTGACATTGGAAAAATAGTTAAAGGTAAAGTTGGTGGAATAGATTAACTTGATTTCGTTCATAATGATTGACTGAGTTTCTCTTTTTCCATTTTCTATTTAGCTGTTTTGGATGAGAAAAATGAAGACATCGATTTACCACCGATCGTAATTATTGGCCACAGTATGGGAGGAGCACTTGCTGTCCATTGTACCCATCAATTAATGGAGATACTACCATCCATTTTAGGAATAATTGTAATCGATGTCGTTGAAGGAACAGCATTAGACGCATTACAATCAATGCAATCAGTTTTAAAAGGAAGACCAAAATCATTCCAAAGCCTCGAAAACGCTATTGAATGGTGGTAGGTACTCGAGTGATTATCGGTAAAAAAATTCGATCACTAATTGGTCATCATTTTCTATGTTAATGTAACCTTTAGTCTCAAAAGTGGACAAACACGGAATCTTGAAGCAGCCCGAATATCGATGCCTGGACAATTGAAAAAGTAAATTATTGTACTCTTGGTTATATTAGCAATTTCTGACAATTTAACTGTTATTTTCTATTCATTTAGCTTAATCACTGGAGCCCCAGCAACTGATGATGTGATCGATAAACTGTCCACTAGCACGAGTGATCAAGAAGAATCCGATAGTTCATCAAGTGGTAGAAGATTATTTGATTCTGATGATCAAATACCTGAAGAGAATGAACCAGCTGATGAAAATGAAGATTCAGATGATGTAAATAAAAGTAAATCGTCGACATCATCATCACTTGAAACATCAATCGAAGAAAAGTCACCCGAAATGTCCGAATCACCGAAACAATCTGATGATCATCAGAAAACTGAATATACCTGGAGAATCAATTTATCCAAATCAGAACCCTATTGGAAGAGTTGGTTTCAAGGTCTTTCTGAACTATTTCTCAGCTCCCCTGTTCATGGAAAACTGTTACTTCTCGCTGGAATTGATAATCTCGACAGGCAATTAACCATCGGCCAAATGCAAGGGAAATTTCAACTACAAGTACTACCCCAATGTGGTCATGCAGTTCACGAAGATGTCCCGGAAAAGGTAATTAAATTGCTACTTAATCAGTTGATCAAATTTTTAATTGTCTCTCTTGTTATCTTTCAGGTCGCTGATACAATAGCCACGTTTCTAGTCAGGAATCGATTCACTGAAGCAATTAAGGAGTTCGATCGTCCATTTCCATCATGCTAATTTCCACGATTTTCACCCTGATCTTAAATCAATTCAATGCCAAAAATGTCGCTATTTTAATCATCGCTCATTTTCACTTGATTCATTATCAATTAAATTTCTCATGTGTCTAGGTACAAATTGATTATTCGTTGAAATAATCTAAACGTTTATGATTGATTGTCAATCTTACCATTTACTTAATTAAATGTAAATCATGATGATGAAAATCCATTTCCATTTTATATAATTTTCTTTGATAAACAATCAAATTAAGAAATAATTCTCATCAGTTGATCGTCCAAGGAATTGAGCAGTTGAAATGTGATAAAATTAGTGGAACAATCAAGTTTCCAATTAGCTCAATTTCAGACCAGAATAATCAAAATTAACATTAGAATTGATTATATTCTTATGGTTAAGTCTCTACAATCAATTATTTTGTTTCTCAATGTGTTAAAACAATATATTAATTACTAATTGTGACGTTGATGACAAGTGATTGAGTTCATCTTGTTGTCAACAGTTTGTCAACCAATTGAGCTAAATTGTCAACAATTAAATCTGGTTTGATGGTTGCGTGATTTTCATCAGTTTCTCGTCGATATTTTCCCGATCGAACCAAAATACCTTTCATTCCGATCGATTGAGCTGCACCAACATCCGATCTAATATCGTCCCCAATCATTGCGACTTGTTCGGGTTTAAGGTCAAGTTGTTTCAACGCTAATTCAAAGTAGTTAGCTGAAGGTTTACCAATTATAATGGCTGTCCGATCGGCTGCATACTCTAAGCCAGTTACAAAAGCCCCTTGGTCAAGAACAAATTTACCATTGTCCAGATAGTATTTTGATCGACCCATGGCAATTAACGGAGCATCTTGATTGTCCATGAGAATCTGAAAGGCTCGATTCATGTTCTCATAAGTGAAATGTTGAACAGCATCACCGACGACGACACAATTAGGATTCGATTGATCGAGGTGGGAAAAGTCACCATTTACCTCTGGAAAGAGAGAATAATGAAATCGAAGAATAACAATTAATTTGATTAGAATGAAAATCAACTAGTTACCTGGAAAAGTTAATAGAAAAGGTCGTAAATTGTTTTGTTCCAAGTAAATTGCAACTTGAGGAGCAGGAGCGATTATTGTTTCGGGTGTTTGATTAAATCCAATGGAATTTAAAAATTTAGTAAATGAGATTAAATCGAGTGTTGTCTGATTAGTTAACAATAAGAAAGGTAATGAGTGTCTCTTTAATTGTTCAATCGCATCAATTGAACCCTCGATTGGTTGATCAACACCACAATTATAAAGGACACCGTTGATATCGATACAAAATCCTTTAATATTATCAAGAAAATTGCTTGAAGATGATGATGACATTATTTCAAAATCGATTGATTTGAATTAGAGAGACGATTAAAACAATGAGCAAATTACAAATAGGAAAAAAATATCAACAAATGAAAAATCGAGTGAGAGATTAAGAGAAGACACCAAAAAAATCAGATGAGAATCAGTAAATCATGAAGATGGAAAAAGACAAAATGATTTATGTGAAGATTAACAGAGAATGAGGAAGATGGAAGATAAGTCTCTCTCTCTCTCTTTCTCTCTATCTTCTTCTAATCTGGTGAAAAGGGGAAAAGGAAGATAGAGGGAGTTTGATTATCGTCATTTTCTTTTTGTAATTACAAGGCAATTAATAAATTAATGAATTTTTTAATCATCTCGAGGTTAGAAACACTTTTTCAAGGAATTGAAGTTTTCTTCGTATTAATTGATGGAAATGTTTCTAAATGAACTATTTGAAATTCCCGCTTCAGATAACTTGCGCTTCGCTCGCTTGGGGCTCGTCTTCCGATGTAAACAAACAAATTGTTGTTTTAATTGTTTCTTGATTAGTTTGATTGTTAATTGTGTGAAATAATTAACTGACGGTTTATCGTTGATTGGATTGGGTTTGTTTTTTGGGGGTTGACTTCAATGGTTGAGGGAATTTGTCTTGGTGTATAAACTGTTGTGTATTTTTTTGTCTCTTTTTTTATTGTTTATATTTTCAGATTTAATCTGTTGATTAAATTGAATCAAATGTTGGACTTGATTTAAGTTAATGGAAAGTTGGACTTATTGTTTTTGGTTAATTAATTGGTTTACATGGATTGGTGACTTTACTTTTCATCAATGAAAATTAAATCAGTTGTCAAATTTACTCTGATGTTTGGCTTGATGTCTTTGGTCATTTGCTTTTGTCTGATGAGCTTATTGTTAGTCAACTCAACTGCAATTAAATCATCGGCAAAACAATCAAATGTTGCTCCATTCTCTTTCAGTAATCAACATCATCGTCTGGCCTTAATTGTACCATTTCGAGATAGATTTACTGAACTTCTTCAATTTGTGCCTCATGTTTCCAAATTTTTGCATAATCAAAATTTATCTTTCACCATAAATGTAATCAATCAAAATGATTCTCTACGATTCAATCGAGCCTCATTGATTAACGCTGGATTCACTCTGGTCAAGGAAAATTGTGATTACATTGCCATGCATGATGTTGACCTTTTACCTCTCAATCCAAATCTCAACTACGGTTACCCTGAATCAGGACCATTTCATGTTACATCACCAGAATTACACCCAAAGTATCATTACGAAACTTTTGTTGGTGGAATCCTTTTAATGACAACTGAACATTTTCAAATGGTCAACGGACTATCCAACCGATACTGGGGATGGGGACTAGAGGACGATGAGTTTTACCTGAGACTTAAAGAGGCCAAACTACAGGTGAGTCTCTATTGCATCACTAGTATTTTTATGACCTTTCGATTTTTAAACTTATTCTTGTTTCGAAATCAGATTTCCAGGCCAACCAATATCGAAACCGGGATTGGTAATACATTTCTTCACATTCACAATCCAACAATACGAAAGCGAGATTACGCTAAACTATTCAATCAAAAAGAAGTGAGTGTTAATTGTAATCAGAAATCAATATCAATATAACTGAACGAATTTTTCTTTTCTCCCAATTTCAGGCCACTCGAAAGAGAGATAGACAAACGGGATTGGATAATGTTGAGTTCGAGTTGACATCGTTAAGCCAAATCACCATTGATAATTTCCCGGTCAACATTTACTCGGTTAAATTAATTTGCGATCACAAATCAACTCCATGGTGCGACTTTTCCCTCGTTAACAAAAATAAGACCAAATCGCCAAGACCAAAGTGATTATGACATTAATCAAAAAGTGTCCATCTAATGACTTAATTGGTGTTAATTCTCACCAGACATTCACTAAATCTGCCAAAGTTAAATACTATTAATTGCCATTCAATTGCCGATCTTGTAATTATTTGCTCGGTCTCTGATCAATTACAATTACAAAGATGGGAGACATTTAATTTTCTCCCAATTTCAGGCCACTCGAAAGAGAGATAGACAAACGGGATTGGATAATGTTGAGTTCGAGTTGACATCGTTAAGCCAAATCACCATTGATAATTTCCCGGTCAACATTTACTCGGTTAAATTAATTTGCGATCACAAATCAACTCCATGGTGCGACTTTTCCCTCGTTAACAAAAATAAGACCAAATCGCCAAGACCAAAGTGATTATGACATTAATCAAAAAGTGTCCATCTAATGACTTAATTGGTGTTAATTCTCACCAGACATTCACTAAATCTGCCAAAGTTAAATACTATTAATTGCCATTCAATTGCCGATCTTGTAATTATTTGCTCGGTCTCTGATCAATTACAATTACAAAGATGGGAGACATTTTAATCTACTCAATTTAAAGCCATTTAATGTACATAAAGAAAATCATCAATTGTAATTCATTTATAACTAATCCATTTCGTATTTCGACAATTAACTGATTACAATTGAATCGGAAAATTGTCACTACCGATTAAGTTGAAATCATGAAAGAAGAAAACTTCAACAATAATGAAAATTTGTATTAGTTTATTGTGAACAATTTAAATAATTGTTAATTTATCTAATTACAAACAATACACTTACACGCAATCCTTTAATTACTACCGATTAACATTCATTTTAAAAAGTTAATTGTTGGACAGGTTAACTTTTTACAAGATCTTCCGTTGATTCTTGACTAGACTCTGAATGTTCAACCAGGATTAACAAGTGTAAATCTTGATTTCTAAAATTGAAAGGCCAACAATTAAGGATCATTCAATTCGTCCTCTAAATCGTCTCCGGTTATCAAGCTAAAAAAATCAAAGGAAAATAAATCAACAATTAAAACCAAAGTCTCATCTTTCAAAAGGTAAACATTGGAGGAGGAAAATGAAAGTAGGAAAAAAATTCTGGCAAGGAAATGAACAACTTACCAAACTACGTTTACAATTAGTTAATAGTGTTTTGAATCTAACACATTCATCGGGCAATAGTTCATGAGCTCTTCTCAAACACTCCTGAGGGCTGATTTTATCCTGAAAAAGAAAAAAAAATTGATGAAAAAATTGAAGAAAAAAATCTCAATGTTGATTAACCTTTTTGACACAATCGGACTCAAGAACACAATGTTTCAGGTCCATTCGAACGGCATAACAAGCTCTTCCGTCGCCTTTGTACTCTTCCTCTGTTTCCACCACCCTCATCACAATTAGAATATAAAAAAATTAAACAAACAATTTAAAGAATAACAATTGTATTTGTTGTGAGAAAACAAGAAAATGGAAAACATGAGATGAGTCAATTTTTGCTTTTCTTTTCCTCGATCAGCTGTTTTTTTTTGGTTCTTTTTCCCAATGATTACGTTTGATATTTTCTTTTATTTTTCTTTTCAATTTAGTTTTCCTTGTGATTTTCTTTAATTATTTTCATCTAATTTTAATTTTCTATTAATTCCAAAGGTTGATTGATTTTCTTTCGCCTCTAATTGTTTACAATCGAAGGGATTTTTACCTGATTAAGAAAATCCTGACAATGGGTTTTTTATACTCTTGTTTTGTGCTACTCTTTTGCTGATCTTTCTCACTTTTGCCTTTTAATTGTTACTAATTGTTGATTATATTCACTGGTAGTTATTACCTGTAACTTGAAGTGATTGCTTATTCTATACAATTTAACCAGAGTAAATTCTATCCTGGTTTACTCGGACAATCAAATCTTCGGCCTTTGTTTTCTCATCTCTTGACTTGTTTACATTGGAATTGTCATTTTGTTTTGATTGTCTCATTAATCCCAGTGATTTACCGATTATTGGAACTGATTAGTGAAAAGATTGACCATTAAATCATCATTCGTCATCGAACCTATTGATTGGCTTTTGTGGTCTTGTGTCTATTTCTGGTTTATAAGGTTTGATTGAGATTCTTTTACATTCAATTGTTCATGTTTCTGGTTAATTGTTGTACTACCTTTAAGCTTTGATCTCTTATTGATCAACTTGGATTAGTTAATGAATTTTTCTACAAAAAAAAACGAAAGAGTTTGGATTCGGTTGATGAGAGAAACTGATTACACAATTATGCTTAATCTCCTTCTCACCAATTAATTGCTATTCTCAATTTAACTGACTGGGGAAGCACAATTATCCTGTGAGAAGGTTGATTAATCAGTAAATTAAACTGCTATTAACTATCAACCAACTGTGAACTTAAATGTTATACTAACATGAATTGATTACATGTTTTTCAATTTATTTCCATAAAAAAATTGATAAAAATTAATTTATTTTCCCTTTTATTTACATTTACAGATTGAAGATCAACAGAATCGGAATATTGTTCAAATTGTGACTGAAAACTCAAACTAATTGCTGATTAATCACCTGAAGTGAATTAGAAATTCATTGTGATAATGTTTACTTGTCAAGAAATTAAATCATCTCAACCATAATCTAATACTCACCAACTGATTAACCATTGAAAGGATTGATTGATTGTATGAAGTGCCTAATTGTCAACCTTTTGGAAAGGTTTTTATCACCTTAATTGTACAATCTCAGATTCTATCGCTAATTTAACTAAGTAAGTTTACTAAATTGTCTCGATTTTTTTTTCTAATCTTTTTTTTTTGACAATTTTCTTCAGATTTTTCCATTGATTGTGATTGTCAAGGACCGAATTGATTCCTAACGATAACCATGAACGTCTCAACCTTCATCAATCGCTATCAATACACTCCACCCACTGAGCTTTATCATTTGTCTATTGTTTACATTTTATCACATTTTCTGGTTCTATCAATTCTTACCTGTTTCCCGATACTCGATTCATCAAAGTAAATTCATATAAATCAAATTCTAACAATCAAATGAAATTAACTTACTGTTTGTTATTTTCTTCTTGGAAAACAATTTATATTGATGGACAAATCGATTCCAATAAATTGTTACCTTGAGCGAAAATAACTTCATTCGATAGTAATTTTCACGAATTTCTCGAATTAATTTCTTCTGAACTTTTTTCTCTCTCAGATATTTCTACAAGCGGGTATTCATTGAATCAACGGCCTTGGCGATGCCGTTCCTGTTAAGTGTAACTTTGCTCCAATCGATTAATACAATTATACCTTATATACTATTGGTCCTATCGATGCATTTACTTTTATCGTATTCTAGAGTTTATGTCGTCCTTAAATGGCCTGAGATCGTTTTTCATTCCAAACCAATGCCGGTGAAATTACCTTTCATTACGAATCTATTTTCAAATGTTATTCTAACTGTGAGCATCGTTATACTAGCGGTTGATTTTCAAATTTTTCCTGATCGATTGGCGAAGAGTAAAATTTATGGATGGACTTTGATGGACACGGGAGTCTCTTATTTCGTGGGCTTAAACGGTCTACTAGCAATTGAATCTCGACAAGGAACCTCAACACCTTATAACTCACCGACTTCATCTACTTCCTCCAATTCTCAATCTATTTCAATTTTGAAAATTCTGTCACCATCACTTCCCCTGTTCGCTCTTGGATTCATAAGAATGCTATTGATTAAACTTACAGGTTATCATCAAGAGATAACTGAATATGGTGTAAACTGGAATTTCTTCATCGTTCTTGGACTAACACGAGTGAGTTACCATTTTCATCGACGAAGTAAATTGCAAACTTTTCAATTTCGACTTACACCAAAATTTGCTCTTCTTTTCCTTGTTCAGATCATCTCTTCCGGAATAATTTATTTCTACTCGTCATTATCTTGGAAAACACCGATAATCATTGCTCTCTGTCATCAGCTCTCTCTTTCACTAGGCATCGGCTCGTTCATATTCAATTCCAATCGCTCAGGTTACATTGCCGCTAATAAGGAAGGAATATTTTCCCTGCCTGGTTATATTTCCATCTATTTATTTATGATCTGCGTTTCTCATATTCTCTATGATAAAAGGTTAAAACAGTCAACTAATTTCCTATTAATCGATTTACTAATTTCTACTGTCCATCATTTCTCGAATCTCTTAGGCATCGACGATCAAATTTGGATAATATTCTCATCTCATTAGACTTGCTGTTGATCGCAAGTTTCTTAGCAAGTGTCGGTACTTTCTCTCATTTTTATATCGAACCAATAAGTCGACGAGAATGTAACCTCGCCTTTATCTGTGCCACAATCGCTTTAATTTTATTAATCACTGTCACCGAACTGTGGATAACAATATTGATTGATGTTCTTCAATATTTTGGCTACATGAAAAAACCGCCGCTGGTCAAAAGTTTACTCAACGAAGCGATCGCTCGTAACGGTTTGGTCATCTTCCTATTCGCCAACCTATTAACGGGCCTAATCAATATGACCTTAAAACCCAAAAACAGAGGACCAATTGTGGCCACAATTTGTCTTATTTTTTACTCTTACTGTTTATGCTTTTTTGCGATTTTCTGTCGATCCAGTAGATTCAATCCAAGATTATTATTTAGCTTCAATTCACGAGCTCGGTACTTGTAATCAAATCAAAATCCAATCAAGTGCAATATCCAAATTATGAAACAAGTAATTCATTTGATTACTATTCAGTTGACATTGGAATCTAATATGATTGATTTAGTTTCACCAACCAAGTAAACAAAATGCTAATTAACTTTTACCTGGTCTTTATATCTGATTGGATAACGAGAAGGAAGCAAAAAAATTCCCACTTAATGACCGGTTGCAGTTGTAATTACAATTGAATCGCTAATTTATCATTCTAATTGTATTTTGTTGTTTAGTAAACATTCACACAAACTAAAACAATCAAGCAAATTGAAAAAAAGGATAATTATCATTCGTACATAAACAATTAACTTGAACTAAAAGTTTCTACGGTTATGTAAGAAAAGCAAAGAAACCGGAATCATTGGTGAATCTAAAATGATTATTACAGCCAATTAGTTAATCAACTGAACAAGATTCAAATTTATGGTAATGGTATTCATGATATGGGCCATCGGAATCCAGATCTTATGTCCATTTGAAATCATTTCCTATTCTCGGACACTCATTTGTGGTTACATGTAAATCTGTCAGCAATCAATTGGATCTCTAACTAAACAATTAAATCAATTACCTTGATTTGTTTTCTTATTCATCATCATTATGTATTCTACTCTCTCTCTCTCTCTCTCTCTCTCTCTCTCTCTCTCTCTGGGGTAGATGAGAGGATAGAAGATTCTAAATATGCATATTCTATTCTAATTCTACCTACACTCAATTTCCGAAGGAAAATTAAAAATTCGAATTCGAATGTTATTCAAATTTCGATGCTAACTGTCAATTATCTGGCCACAAGTAAATTCCAGAGGCATACGGGTTCTAATCTGTTCACCATCAATTCCCAATTAATCGTAATCATCCTCATCTCGATACCTTGAAACTTTTGGACGAAAACGAAAACAAGATTAACTTAAATTGTAACAAATTACTTTTCTCGGTAATTGATTTAAACGTTGGAGATAAACATTTGATTTGAAACGAAAATAACAAGACAAAGTCACAGTTTTTTTTTCTCAGAACTTTTCCTCCAAAAACTTTACTTCTAAAACTTTGCTCGAAGCGGTTCCAATCTCTTGTTTAGTTACTGTCTAGTCGTCGTAATTACAATATAATTAGCACCTTTGATTCTGTTTGTATTTTTGTATCTCATCGACTTTTCCTACAACCAATGACTCTCTCAAGGGTCAGTTGATTGTTTTTCCTGTTGTAAGTCAGTAAACAGAGTAAAGGATTAGAACAGTAAGTCATTAAAGTTTTATCCTATTCGAGGTCCGCCTCCAGTGCCAACAAGAACACTGGTCAAGACTGGACCCAGGTAACAATAAGTGTTTTGTTGCTTGTCAAAAATGATCCCATAATTGCTGCTTAAAAAGTAAGAAGCTAATGAAAAAAAGAGAAAGTCGAAACTCAAGCTAGTCCATCATCTTCATCTTCATCATCTTCATCATCATCGCCATTATAATTATCGTTATTAGTTTGCATTGGTTACTGGTCACTCTGCAAGACAATAAAAACTAGTGCTTACCGTTGTGTCTATTGACCAGGGAGAGAGAGAGGAGAGAGAATGAGAGACAAGACGAGAGGAGGAAGATGAGAAAGGTAATGATGATGATGATGACTTTCTACTCTTCTCTTTCATCTCCACCTCCACCTCCTCCCTCTCATCTCTCTGTCTCTTTTCACTTTCTGTTGTAAACACTACCATTAATCTAAATCCTCCCATTCCAATGGTGGGTATCATGAATCACGGACATGAATCTACAATTAACGTTAATTTAAGGTATTCACATGAAGGTAACATTTTCGAGATAGAGAGAGAGAGAGAGAGAGAGAGAGAGAGAGAGAAAAAAAAAATGAAGAAAATTATTTTTCGCTAAACGTTCAAAAACTAAAAGTTTTTCGGTGGAAAATCTCAATCCTCAGATTAATGCGAACATATTATCTTGTAAATCCTTTAAATCTTTACAAATATGAGAAGAAAAAAATTATATCCAATATGTTACAAAGTTAATCCAGTTAAAGAACAATCAATCCACACTAATTAAGCCTCAAGGTAATTCTCAGGCAATCAATTGATTATCATCAACAATTGAACAAACATTTATTGCGGTTAAAGGTATTGTTTACCTGGTGGAGAAACACTTTCAAGTGAGAGAGAGAGAAAATAAAATGGATGATAATGACTATCATCATTCGGATGATTATTATCATTATGAATTCATCTTCTTTTCTCAGGTAGAAATAACATTTTTGCATGAATTTATCCTCCCACCGTAAACTATGGTGATGAGAACCTCAATCTCACCCTCAACCTCCCACCCACCCCTCAAGTCACTCATAATGATGATAATGATGATTTACCTGGATGATTAAAGAGAGATGAGTTTATATTTATATATACACAATTTGTTAATGGTGAAGATCTGATTGTTATCATTAGAATCGCTATTGATACTTACCTGAACCTTACAGGATTATTTTGGTTCCTTAATCTTGGCCTAACTCATTTAAGGTGAAAGACCCAATTTAATCCGGATTAGTAAATAATAATGATTGTTATTCAATAATTCAGCTCATTTGATTGTTAACATTTTCGCATTTACTATACATAATGTGATAGACAATAACTGTTACTATTAAATTATATCTTAATCATCATGTTAATTTAAATTGCGAAAAAAAGTTTCAGGTCATCGTCATGAATTTAAATTATCATGAACTGGTTTTACTTGATTGTTTGGGATAAGCACCCAATCATTTTTTTTTGTTTTGATTACTTTATTGTGATTAAAGTGTTAAAGGTAATCATTATTTATTTTATTGATTGGACAATCAACCGATACTTTTAATCATATTGATCATCAGTATCAACCATTTATATTATTATTGTTATTGATCAAATTGTTATGATTACCTGGACAATTAACCCTCAAGGTAAATAAGATTAACGAGAGTCAATAATTACTAGTTTAATATTTAATCACTCATCCAAGTTAATTATAAATTTAGTCAACTGGCTAGTCTATTATTTATTATAAGGTAACAATTAGCTAATCACAATTACATAATTAATAAATCACTTTTTTTTACTTTGTTCATTGTGGTTCAATACAATTTGGTAAATTGTTTCACTAATTTGGTTTTGTTTTGTTGAACCGTTTTAATTTGGTCAACCAATTAGTTATTAAATTGTCAAGTTAATTGTTGATTAAAATAAGAAGGATATGATTTAGTTTGGTTTGGATATGATTAACTTGATTTCGTATCCTTATCATGTTTTAATCACAATTAACTGTCAAGTTATTACGTTGGCAATATGATTGGTAATGATTAGGAAATGTTTTACTTTTAATAATCAATAATAACTAAACTATTTCCTAAATTGTCATCAGTTAATTGCAATTTAAGGTGAGGCTTTTGGAGTCTAGTTAATTGTGATAATTGTTGTTAATCACATTTGATTTCTAGTTGAAGTTAACAAAAAAAAAACTTTTTTCCTCCAAAAACAAAGTTTTTTTTTCCTTCATAAGTTTTAATGGTAAGTTAATCATTCTTAATGATAATCACTATGATCGAGTAGCAATTAAATTGTAATTTAACACACAATCATTTGTACAATTAACTCTCATTTGTAATAACTTTGTTAATCGCCGATGTGTTCAAATTGATATTAACAGTTTAATAGTTACAATTAACTTGATCAATGATCACTAAACGGTAACAATTTTAATTTTTTTGCTCGTCTCATTATTGTAACAATTAACTTGTACATTTAATCATGATCAATTGTAACTTTTGTCAACTAGCAATTAAACTTAAATTATAATCAAATGATTGTCAATTTGATTTACCTCTTGATTGTGTTGAGTTATAATCAGTTAATTGTTGTTATTAGCAATTAACCCTTGAAAAAATAACAAACTCAATCATTGTGAGGCTTAATCAAGTTAATTTTTTATCTTAATTGTTGCTGAAATAAGTCATTTGATCAAGTTAACTAATTAAATTTATGATCAATGATAAATTTTTATTTGCTAATTTGTAATAATCAATTTTTACTCCCAATTGATCAGATTAGTTGATCAACATGATTAACTTGATCACTATTGAACAACAGGGAATCTAATTAAATTGTAAACTTAAATTCAATTCATCAATCAAATCAATTTGATTATTAATTTCCTAGACAATTAGTTGATTTGGGAATTAACAATTTACACAACAAACCAACCCAGAAATTGAAACAATTTCTAGAATTGTAATCAACTAATTTAAATTAATCTTCTCGGTTGTTGGTCAAATTAACAATCTAATTTAATTTTAGTCTAATTTTATTCACAATTAACTTTTTCTCTTTCATAGTTAACCTGATTAAATTAATTTCTTATCTTTTAATTTGATTAACTTTTATGCTTTTCATTCACCTCAACAACAATTAACTTAATCAACTCAAAATAAAAATCCTAACGTGACCTTTACAATTGAATTAACAACAATTAAATCAACAACAAGTTGAAACAATTACAATCAACTCTCACACCTTGATAACCAGATTAAATCATCTAAATTGTGAATCTCATATCCACGAATCAGTGTAACAATCAACTAATTCAATTAAATTATAATTATCCCTTTTAATCAACAATCTAAATGAGTAAATAGTCAATTATGATCGGGAAAAGTTAATTAGATAATTAAAACCAATAGAGTTCATTGATTAACAACCGATTTCTATCTCGTTGATTAACCAACTTGGTGAAACAATTAAATCAAACAATTTAAACTTCCGTTTTTATCAAGTTTTCAACGTTGATCAACATACACTTAAAATGATTAATTTATTGCCGGAAATTTAATCAAAGTACAATTTGACTCAAGCTAAATTGAGTTAATTGTTAACCAACAGTAAACATTGATTGAACAGTTAACTAATTCATCATAAAAGTCAATCTCTAATCAAGACAATTAATCAATCCCAAGTAAACAGAATCAAATTCAAACAATAAAAGCAAAAGTAAATACAAATTGTTGGTGATTAAAAGCAACGAGAAACAATTGAAAGTAAGAAAAAGTTAATTGTTAACAATTAAATCAATTGATTACCTCGAACCGGTTTTGATCAAAGTCCCTTTTGAATGGCTACTTAAACAATCACGTGGCGATCATTAAACAACCTGATTGGTTAATTTTCATCATAAATTGTTAATAATCACGCCTCAAACTAACCTGCGCTTGAGCATCTTCCTCATCCTCATCCTCATCTTCATCCTCATCCTCATCCGCATCTTCATCTTCATTTTGATCATCATGAAATTTGTCAATTTGATTACATGAGGAGCAATCAGATTGATCAGAAAAGGTGAAAAAAAAACATTTTCATCAATCTAATGGTTTCCAATGATATTTATTGTTACCATTTCATGATAACTGGAATCAAAATTAATCATGATAATAATAATGATCATGATTCTGATCCTCATGAGCTGAATTGTGTGATCAAGTTAAATAAATCAGTTGTAATGGTTTTCAATGAATGGACACACCTAGATTATGATTTACCTGTTTCATGATAATCATCATGATATCAATGATTATTATGGTTCATGTTGTTATCTGATTACATGTATCATGAATTAACTGATTACCATAGGTATGTGATTAAGGCTTCGCTGAGTAATTACATCTATGGGCATATTGAAAGCATAACAATTAACAATTACTAAAGCTACATAATAATTTCAAGCCTAAATCACTGAAAATTTTAGGTTAATCAATTAATCACTCGTAATGATATTAAAAGCAAATTTAAACAACAGCAACAACCACCATCAACAATCAGTCAATCAAATCAATCAAATAATCATATTTTGATAACAATTAACCAACCAGGTCAAACAATTAGTGTGAAAAATGAAACTATGGTCAGCATGTAATCAGCATAGAAACAATTTAAATTGCTGACAATTTAACCCAAACAATTGAATACAATTGTTGAAAAAGTTTACACTTTTC